GGAGCTCCTGTCCCCACCACTTGGACCCTCTCTGAGGTCACTGGGCACAGCGTGTGAGGCCAGGGCTGCAGGTTGGAGAGGTATTTGCCAATAATTGAAAAATATAGAAAAATACATCACATTGTGGACACGTCTTAGAGAGGACACCCACTGGGGCAAAGGCTGAGCTACTGATACTTGATTTTAACACAAAGAGGAGTCTGGGAACATCGCCCTAAGAATGTCATCATTAGGTTGGGGTGGTCTGGAGACCAACAGGATGGTTTTATTTGACAGGTCCAGTGCCCTGGGCATTGCTGGAAACAGTCCTCGGTAAAATTCACTGACAAACGTAAAAATGAACAAATGTTAGTGGTCAAGGGATGAGAATAAAATACGTGCTTGTACTTAAAAGGAACTTTAAGCCTTGTATTGATTGGGGGAAAATGGTTTTTTCAAGACATGACAAGCAGTTACATTATCTAATTATGGGTAGGTAGTTTTGTGCATAGCTTACATGCTCAAAAGTTGGTATTTTACAGATTTATCACTCGGGTGCAATGTGGCTTTAGCAAAATAGTGGCAAAATCATCATGATTTTCCAAAATCATCAGCTTTGCTGTTTGCAGGTGTTCTAGGGCAGAAATGCATTCCAGGTGCCCTCTGCCTGGCCTAGGGCCCTTGCTCATGTTCACTTGTTTTCTTTCTCTTTCTTTCTTTCTTTCTTTCTTTCTTTCTTTCTTTCTTTCTTTCTTTCTTTCTTTCTTTCTTTCCTTCCTTCTTCTTTCCTTCCTTCCTTTCTTTCTGGGGGGACCAGGAATGAAACTCATGCCCTCACACTTGCCTGGCAGGCACTGGGCCACTGAGCTATATCTCCAGCCCTTCGCTTGTTCTCTCACTGCCTCCTTCAGTGTGTGGGCAGTGGGGATCCAGGTTCAGCTAGAGACAGCACATGGGCTGCACCAGGCAGCCATGCTGTGGTAACGGTGTCCAAGCTGGGTCTCCGCCACAGCAATACTGGGTAGAGCACTCCAGGGGACCTAAAGACAGGGCCTGGAGAGGGGTTGTGCAGGGCCAGTCTGTGTCCCATGCATCCTCCAGGGACTCTAGGCCTCATCCCTCTTTTTCTTTATTTTAGGATTTACATTGGGCACTTCAGGCCTTGAGCTGTTCTGACACTTCCTCATGAACCAGTCCGCTGTGTGGGCCAAGGTCCTTTAACTGTCTGACAGGAAAGTTTGCGTTAAGAGACTTCAAGAGTTGAGAGGCACTGGAGTGCATTTAGAAAGCAATTGTGAGCCACTATGGTGGCTCATGCTGGTAATCCCAGCATTTGGGAGGCTGAGGCAGGAGGATCCTTGCAAGTTGGAGACCAGCCTGGGCTATGAAGTGAGCTCAAGGCAAGGCTGAACTGCCTAGTGAAACCCGTGTCAAAAAGACAAGAAAAACAGGCTGGGGACTTAGCTCAGTGGCATAACTCATAACTGCCCACCCAACAAATCCAAGGTCATGAGTTTGATCCCTGGTACAAAGGGAGAAGGAGAAGAAAATCCAAAACATTGCCTTACATAGCTTTACTTCCTTCTACTCATAGCTTTATATTTATTTATTCATTTATTTAGGTATCAGAGATCAAACTCACAACCTAGTGCTTACTAAGGCAGTCGCTTATGCCATTGAGCTAAATCCCCTGCCACACTTTGCATGAGTGTGTTTTCATTTTTGTTTTTGGTACTGGGGATCAAACTTGCAACCTTGAGCTTGCCAGGCAGGTACTTACACAGCTGAGCTAGATCCCCAGCCTTACACATAGCTTTATAGCCATATACTGCTTTCAATTCACTGGCCAAATCAGTCTAATAGAGGTAAACTTCCTGTCTCCCTTGTACCTTGAAATTTGACAGTCTTTATTCCCCGTTCCACCGCCCCCCAACCTGGTATCCAAGGTCTGATCAGCCCTTGGTAACCATCTAGCGTTGTTTTCTCACTCCTGCATGCTTTGCTCCCATCCTTCTCCTTCATATATATATATATATATATATATATATATATATATATATACACATATATATATATATATATATATGTTTTTTGTACTGGGAATTGAACCTTGCACTTGTCTGGCAGGCACTTGGGCCTCTGAACTAAACTCCTGGCCCCTATTTTTTTTAAGGCAGGGTCTCTGTAATTCAGGCTGGCCTTGAACTCACTATGTATTCTAAACTGGTCTTGGACTCAGAGATCCTCTTGCTTTAGCCTGCCAAGGGCTGGGATTATAGGCCTACACTACAACAGCCAGCTTTCACTTATTTTTAAACTAGGGTTTGACAAGGGGAACTGAAACCACAGGTAAGGGAGATTACTGTGTTGTTTGCACTTTCCCTTCAGTCCTGAGCATCCTTGCATTTTGCTGTTATTTTTCTTAGTCCTATCTCTAGGTGTGTTGAAAGGCTGGGGACCTCCTAACCCATCCCACACCTTCTCATCAGACACAATTCTGACCCAAAAAGGGCAGGGCTCAGGGCTTCATGTATCTGAAACCCTGCCATCTGCAGGACAGCTTCCCTTCCAGGTCAGGCACTGGGATGGACTCAGTGGCACTGACTGCAGGAGAGAAACCAGTTATCTTAACAACGAAGCTTTTCCTGACTCATGGACCAAAATGTAATTCCTTCTGTGAATACTTCCATGTTTGGATATCCTGTCCCTGCCCGATGGATGGGATGGCTCAGGTGAGGGCACCATATTTAACAATTGACATGAATAACAACCAGAGCAAAATGCTCCAGAATAATTCCTTGGGAGTAGCAGCATCTGTGGGAAGAGGCATCCATGTGTCTCAGTTAACCAAGGGTGTGATTTTTACGCTCTAGGCCCAGCATGTCCCCAGATGCCTTGCAGGCTCAGAGGTGGGCTCTGGGAAGTCGACTGGATCATGTGGCTACCATGGCTGACTTGCTGTCAGGGTGGGACTGTTATGGTTTATGTCAGTGTCTCCAAGCCTCATGCAATTATGGACTCCATGAAATTGAGCATTTGTGATTGGTCTATTATCTAGCGCTCAGATTGGTGGTACGAGTGCTACACTTGCCTAAGGGTGGAGTCAGGATATGATGTATAGCAGGAAGGTGTCTTTCTCTTGCTGATTCACACCTGCTGTTTGCAGTGGCCATGAATGGTGGCCCACCATGCCATCCTGCCTTGGAGCCAACTGAGTATGGACTGAAATCTCCAAGAACTGTAAGAAACAAACCTTTCTTTCCCTAATTTTGGTCATCAGATATTTTGTCTCAACATCAAGTAAAAGTAACTAAGACAGACAGGTTGCAAGTGAGTCACAAAGGGCATGGCCCAGAGGGGTTTGTCTTTTTCCTGGCTCTTCCCTTCCCTACTTCCTGGCCAACGTGATGGGTGGTTTTCCACGACCAGACCCACCACACACTACTGCACCGAACAAAGAGGGCTCTGAGATGGACTAAACACACTTTGCAATGGTGAGTTGGACATGACTCTTGGGAGTCTGGCACAGCGTCATGGTTTAGATCTGGAATGTTCTCCAAAGTTTAGAGTGGAGGTTTTGGAAGGTGATTGGATCATAGGGCCTCTGTTTCTGACCTAGGGTCAGGAGCTGGCCAGTCAGGGCATGGCATGGAATGGTTTCTCTCCCTCTTCTTGGCAGCAGCAGTGTGTGTGTGTGTGTGGGGGGTCTTTCCTTCGCTAGACCCTTCGCTGGATAGCCCTGGAATCAAATAAACTTCTACTTTTTCAAGTTGTGGCTGTTGAGCATTATGTCCATTACAAGGAAAGTGACAAAAAAGACATAGAGGCAGCAAGAAATTAAAGGCAAAACATTAGAATTATACTTTGAAACAGTAATTCTTTGCTGTAAGGATCAGAATTAGGTGTGGGCCAGTCCAAAGCTGGACAGGAACTGGGCACACAAGTCATTGTCCATGCAGTGACATGGACTTGGGTAAGCTGTGGTCCTGGCACTGTGATGGTGCCACCCCGTGCAAGGCCCCTCTCTTCATGGCCTCCCGGCTTGCTGTCAGGAAATCAGTGAATGACCCCACTCACCCACAGTGTGACATCTCAGATTGGCCTGTGTGGTTTCTGTGACTGCTGTCCTACACACCACCTGAGCCTAGTGCTGGTATTTGCCAGCCCTTGCAGCCTGGCACCAAGGGTATAAGTGGAGCTGCACAGAGCCACAAGTGTCTCTCCACATGGGGACTTGACACCTGTCCATGGGCCAGGGGCTCAGAGGCAGGACTATGTGGCAAGGTGCTCCACCTGGGAATGTGAGGAGTGAGGAGTCACTGGGTTAGGCTCTCAGGACAGGCCCTGGAGCCAAGTCACTTGACCAGCATTGGGCTGAGGGCTCTGCAAGTTTTATTCCAACCCCAAATGGCCCTCTTCTTTTTTTTTTTGGTCTTTTTCGTTTTTATCAGTACCAGGATCAAACTCACGACTGCACACTTGCAAGGCAGGCATTTATGCCACTGAGCTAAATCCCCAGCCCCTAAGGTTCTCTTCTTCTGGGCACACATCTGTGGCTCGGGGGACTGAGCTCCTGTACTCCTCAGTGACCCTGCGGAGAACCATAGCAGACAGGCAGGCTGGTGCTTACCCCTGCACTGACCGCACCTCCTTTTCTCCCCACTGCCTGTGCTGATCGTGGCCACTGCCTGGCCTGTGCGACACCTGCAGCTCCCAAGGTAGGTGCCACTCCACCATTGGGTCTCTCTTGTCAGTGTGCCCCCAGGACCACACACAGGATGGCAGAGCTGACGGGGCACCTCCTGAGCACCAGACTCTGAGCCACAACTCTTCCTTGGAGTGGTGGCCGCTCCTACCCAATTTCCTCCCCACCCCAGCCCATGGGTGGGGTGCTGAGGGTCTTTCTATTGCAGCAAGACCCACAGTTCCAGCCAGCAACTCTGTCCCTAGACTCAAGTTGCAGGGGCACCCATCCCTCCCAGGAGGCTGGTGGCACATTTGTGAGGCATCACTGCAGTCACTTTCCTGGGCTCTTAGCATCATTTATTGGACAAAACAATTCCCTGCCCTGCTGAGCTTCCACAACAGCCCCACAGTACATCACCACCAGTGAGTAGGGCTGCCACCCTCCTGCTCTAAGGAGTGCCCTGGCAGTGCAGGGACTCTAGGTCCCAAGGGACTCTAGCTCCCACTGCAAGACAGGGTCCCAGGAGCCCCACAGCTGGCCATGAGGAATGTGTCCCACCCCGGCCCTCCCTGTGCACCACCCTCACCCTTGGGACAGGGTCAGAGCTAATGGCTTTGCCCTTGGCTGCAGCTGCCGCTGGAACAAGAGTGTGGGTGCAGGGACTGATGCTGAGAATGGGGTGACCTAAGGCACCCAAGCGGGTGCATGGCACTGTGGATGGGCTAGGAAAGCTCGCTTGCACTTCCGGAGCACCACCAAGGGGAACAAGAACAGCTCCACACAGACGCAGCCTTTCAGGACCATGGTGCCTCTGGATACTATAGGCCCTACAGCCTGGCCACACTACCCGAGGCAACCCATTGGGCCCGATGGTGTGGGTGAACAGTGCCCAGCATGACAAGCTGGCTCCCATCTGCACAAGGTGCCCAGCTCCTCTGGCTGGAGCCTGGAGTCCCTGAGGCTAGAGCATGGCAGAGGACAGGTGACATGTGGGCCTATGACCTGGAGATAGGCCTGGCTGCACAGTGAGCCCCAGGACAGGCAGTCTGGACACTGCTCACTCAAACGGGAGGCTGTATGGGAACTGGGGGCTCTGAAGAACAGCTCATCATACAGCCACGACCTGAGTGAGCCCTTGGCCAGCTCACTGCAGGCCACAGGGACAGACATCTCAGGACCCCAGGTGCGTCAGTGGCTGGGCCCCACCTGGCTGGACTACCCCACAGGTCTTGGACCCCAGGAAAGAGGCTTGGAGGGACCTGACAGAGGTCACTCGCCTCTGGGGCCAGCATCTGCAGTCATAGGACAAGGAAGGCTTTGAAGCAGGCCTTGGGCAAGGCTGCCCTCTCCTGGTGCCTAATAGCACTGCAACACCCAGGCACTAAAGGGCCTGGGTGGTCGCCAGCACAGCCCGCAGCTGACCCAACAATTCCTGTGGCTGGGGTGAGAATGTACTAGTGTCTACCCACTGGAAGTCAGGGTGTGTGACCACAGATGCCAGCACCTCTGTGAGGCGGCCAAGGTCAAAGACAACCTGCTGGAGGCCCAGTCCCAGGCTGGCGCTGTGACCCAATGTCCCCTGCTCCTCCTGCTCCAGGACAAGGAGCCTCTTCTCAGCGATAACCTTGAGGAAGTGATAAAATTCTTCAAAGTTGATTCCTGAACAGGATCTCATTATGACCTAAGCAAAAAGGAAAGGCAAGTGAGCCCCAGTCCTCAAGGCCAGGGAATGGCAAAGCTGCCAAGGCCAGGACTGGTGTCTGCCCAGTCCCTGGGAAGCTCTGCCCCAGCCCTCCGAGCCACCTACCTGGCAGTGGTGGTGCCAGTCTGGCATGGAGTCTTTCCACTGGCTGACCTCCCGATGCACAGCATCGAGCTCTTGCTGTAGGAAGTGCCACATGTGGGCCACATTGCAGCCGTTGACCCAGTTGTGGTTGATGGAGATGGTGTCATCCTGCAGGACAGGGCTCAGGTAGCCCATGAGCCTGCAGTGGCAGCACTGCCTGCCCAGGGAGTGAACTCTGTATGGCCCCCGTGCCAGGCTGATGCCTGGCCCAGCACATCTCCTTGCATGTGTGTGGAGTGACAGCCCAACAGGGGTGAGGACTCAGGGAGAGACAAGGAGGTGCAGGGGCCCCAGTCTGCATCCCCTCTGTGGGTGTCAGGTGGGAAGGGAATAGTATACAGAGAGGTGGGGCCACTGTGCCTGCCTCACCAGGTTGTGTACTTGGTGGTGCCAGCCGCTGGGAACAAACAGCATCTCCCCAGCTTCCTGAGTGATCTCCAGCGGTGGGCTGCTGTGCAGGTGAGTGGGGTACAGGCGGGTATCTGTGAGCTCAGGGCAGGTCACGTCATAGGGCAGGCTACCATGCTTGTCCCGTAGGGCCTCCTCCTGTCCTGGTGGGAACAGCAGCCACTTCTTCCTCCCACAGATGTTGACAGACCAGCTGTAGGAGCGGAAGATGTCGACGTGGAACGGAGACCTGTGAGAGAGCTTCCAGTGTGTGCCCTGTGGGGCTGGAGTGGAGCCTGGCTTCCAGTTGGGAGCCTCCAGCCAGACCCTCACCTACCAGGTCCCCCTCGGCCCCGCATAAACAAAGCGGTAGTCATCCACACCCAGGGCATCCCAGAACTCATTCAGCCAGTCGGAGGAGAAGTACATGGGCAGGGTAAACACGTCCTCCAGGTCCTCTGCCGAGGAGTCCCTGCGGAGTGCATGGTGGAGAAGTAGCTTTCCTAGGTGGGCAAGAACTTCAGCTGACATGCTCAACAGAATGCCCAGCAGGAGCAGGAGGACACCAGGAGAACACAGGGCAGCACAGGCAAGAGGGAGCAGCTCAGCTCCTCAGATGGAGAGGGAAGAACCAGGCCCAGTGTGCTGAGAGGAAGCTAGGCAGTTACCACACAGAATGGAGAGAGCCTACCACACTTCTGCACACACTTCCCAGGACTCTTGGGCAGCACAGCAAAAGGTGTACCTTCTAGAAAAGCCAGGCTGCTACCCTGCAGCATGGACTGCAGCTCCTCCGTATGCCTGTGCCCTGCCAGAGAGCCCTCACCTGCACAGGTGCCAATCCTTGAGGTAGAGGCAGCCTTTTGGGGAGGCACCACCAAGCTGAATGTAATCCTGCCAGTAGGCAAGGTAGTCCTGCAAGGGCATGTGCTCCTTGGGGTTGGAGTTGTATTCCTGCACCCCACAGTTGGCCACAGGTACCACCACGTTCCCTGCAGTGAGAGAGACGACACAAACACGGCCGAGTCCTCCATGCAGCCCACCCTCCATCAGCCATAGTGAGCTCCCCAGCAGGCTGGACAACTCCTACCTCCTGCATTTCATGAGGCCTATCTACAGCCCACCACAGTACACAGCTCTGGATAGCCCCCAGAGTCTCCACTGCCATGGTTGTCCAGGAACGTTTTTTTTTTTTTTTTGTACCGGGGATCAAACTCATGACTGCGCGCTTGGGAGGCAGGCGCTTATGCCGCTGAGCTAAATCTCCCGCCCTGGAAGTTGTATCTTGATCACAGCCCTCCTTACCTGTCCTGAGGATCCACACCTTCTGCTTTCCAGCTCTCCCCAGATTATCGATCGTCAGTGTTCTCTGATCCTTTGTCGCTGGCTGTCCCGGGAGTACTTATCCTTAGCGTCCCTAACTATCCTGAGCCATTAGCCCTGCGCATCCCACCATCCCAGGGTACCCGACTCTGTGTCCCTACCAGCTTTCCATGTCCCCGCAATATCTAGGGTACTGCTTCCCTGGGCCCACTGTCCCGGGCTACTGACCCTGTGTCCCCGCTGCCGTGAGGGCTCTAGTCCTCTGCATCCCAGCGATCCCTGGGGTACTGATCCCGTGTGCCTACTGTCCCTGTGATACCCTGTGCCCCCGCCGTCCTCGGGGCCCCTGCCCTTCGGCCCCGCCGTCCTCACCGTACTTTCGCTCCAGGTACTCAAAGTTAGGCTTGCCCGCGGGCGTCACCCAGCGCCGCCGGCTGCCCCAGGCCTCGGTGAAGGCGCTGGAAAACACGCAGGGCAGGTTGGGCAGCAGGAAGCCGGTTACGAAGTCGGCGTAAGAGAAAGTGCAGGGGTCCGGGATGAAGGCGACGCAGTGCAGCGCCGGCCCGCCGCCCAGGACCCGGCTTCCCGCGCCTCGGAAGTGCCGCTCGGCCGCGGCGCGCGTCTCCCGGTCCATCGGCGGGCCCCTGGCTACCCTCTTCCGGGGAGAAGCGGCGCCGAGAAATCGCCCATAAGCGTACTGTATGGAGACAAGACCCACAGCCCAGAACCAAAAACTTCAGGGCTTCGCTTTCCAGGCAGAACTCGAGCCTCAGCGCACCGGCGCCTCGCGCATGCGCATGGCGTCCGCGCAGGCGCATGGCGTCCGCGCAGGCGCATGGCGTCCGCGCAGGCGCAGGAGCAACTGTTTGAGCGCGCGCCGCTCGGCTGACCCCGCTGGGCTTCGGGTATCCGCGAGCGTCGGGCTGTCAAGTGGCTGACTTCCGGCTCGCGTCGGCGTCTCCGGCCCAGGTGAGCGGAGCGCTGGCCCCTCTCGCGGGAAGACTTGCCCGCCAGAGCTGAGGCCTTTCCAGAACCCAAGGGACAGCGGTCGGAGGAGCGGGGGGGGGGGGGAGAGGGGATGCGGGAGAGCAGATTTGGGTGCCTGCGGGACAGACTGGGACCCGGGGGTCGGTGGGGCTCCTCAGGGGAGGGTCTGGGGGATAATTTGAGGGAGCCCCTTCCCAGTGGTGTGCTGTTGGTTACGAAAGCCCGAGTCCAGGATCCCTACACAGCAGGCTCTGCTGGGTCGGGAACGACGTAAAGGAACAACGCAGTGAGTAAGGCAGGGCAGGTCCCTTTATCAGGGCGGCCGCGCTGGGGAACTCAGAGACGCACAGGATTTGCCTTTGAGAGGCTGAAAGCAACTTTGAGGTTCTGCAGAAACAAAGTCATGGGTTGGACGTATGTAGTTTGAAGCATAGGTCGTTTCTGCCAGTGTAATCTGTTAGATGGTTATCTCTGGACTGATCCTATGAGACCCATCACTGCACTTGAGGTAACAATTTGGTTTCTGTCATGAGCCCAGGGCTCCTGCTTGGGGAATAGCCTCAGTTCCCGTCATGGGATAATTGGTTCCGGTTGGAGATAAGGGAGTGACCTCATCGTGGGGTGATCTGCAAAGCTCTGCTTTTCCTGAAGTCTCAGATAACTATAGGTTTAGGACTGTGACGCTAACTGCAGAGACCTGAGTTGGATGTTGTGAAAACCTGCAGTTGAATGACCCTGCAAGTCCAGAATTAATTTAGGGGCTCTTGTCTTGGTGTTTTCAGTCTTGTTTTGTTTTTTTTGAAAGTGGATCTCATAGGCTGACCTCAAACTTGCTGTAATCCTCCCATCACAGCCTTCCAAGTGCTGGCATTACAGGCATGCACCACCATGCCTGGCTTTCTTCTTAATTTTTTTTCTTTGTCTTTTTTTCGTTTTTATGGGTACCAGGGATCGAACTCACGACTGCCTGCTTGCAAGGCTGGTGCTTATGCCACTGAGCTAAATCCCCAGCCCCATGCCTGGCTTTCTTAGTCCTGAAGGAAGACCAGATAGACTAGGCAAATTAGGGCTAATAAACCTTAGATTAGTTTTTAGGCAAACACTCCTTATTAACATGTCTGTGGACAGAACTGAGCACAGATCTGACACAAACTTGTAATAATGGAGACAGGTACAAAATGAAGGCAGATGCCAAGCTTCATCCTATTTTCAGTTACCCACTGGGCGTCTGTGGGCCCAACCCCTTAGTTTTGATTGCAGGGTCAGCTAGATCAGAAAGGAAGAATGAAGAGGACAGAAAAGTCCTAAGAGGGTCTGTGTTTCAACTGGAGTGGGGTGTGGCATGAGAAGGGGACAGGGACAAGAGGAGCCTGCTGGTTGGGGGGTTGTGTGATGGTCATGTGCTGCGGCTCCAGCTTGGTGGCCTCACAGTGACTCTGCAGTGTGCAGTTCCTTATTGTGAGTTAGGCTGTGGTAGGAGATAGGAGTGTACAGAAAAATTGAGGTTGATGCACAATCCTACCCACAGAAGGGATTTTATTTATTTATTGTGTTACTGGGGACCAAACTCACAATGTCATACTTGCCAGGCAGGCACTGTGCCACTAAACTATATCCCTGGCCCACAGATGGGATCTTAATATTATCAGGAACAGAGCCTATTTCTCTAGGCATGTGTGTGTTTCTCTCCTCCCTCCTTCTCTTATCTCCCTAGTCTCTCCTTACCTTGCTTCTTACATAGGCATGATGTTATGTTGTCAGATATATATATTTGGTCTTTCTTTTGTATCCTGAGAAGCAGCTAAAATCTTGGGCTCCCTGAGGACACAGATTGTCTTTTGTCTGCTAGTGAGCCTGCCGATAGCCTGGGTAACTTCGGCACGGGCTGACACAGAAAGGTCAAGGCAGGTCCCAGGGCTGGGACTCCCATCCATACCCAGCCTCCAGGAGGGCAGAGGGGCCAGAGACTCACTCATTCCTGCCCCTGTCATGAAGCCTCCATAACCCCAAGGCCAGGATCTAGAAGGCTTCCTGGGATCTCCAGATGGGCAGGGTGGGGCCCAGGGAGGGCAGGAAGTCTAGCCTCCCCATTCCTGCCCCATGTGCCTCTCATCTGCAGCCTGATGCCATCCTGATGAGAAACTAAATGGGCAGTTTGTTTTTCAACACAGTGCAGATAGGCACTGCTGAGGACTCCTGCAGTGCCATGGCTGAGAGAGCCCACATTCTCTGGGAACAAGGTGGTCACCTGCAGATCCATGTGCTCCTACAGGTACAGAGGTAGCTGAGCCGTGGGGCCAGACATTGGGTGCTGTGTCTCCCCATGTCCACCAGGTGGCCCTCTGGTGTCAGTATCAGCACCCTTGGAGGAGCCTGAGGAAGGCCTGGCTCACACAGGTGTGTTGCCAGGGCACAGGCACAACCAGGACCAGCAAGTGATGCACATCCTCCAGCCCCACCAGGCCTGCAGAAAATGAGCCTCCGGGTGGGGTGCCCTGGGGAAAACAACAGGAAGGGGGTTGCAGTTAGCACAGGGTCTCTGAGGGAGTGGAAAGAGGGTCCTTGCAGGTGGAGGACAGGTCATGGAAAAAGCCCGTCCATCCCCGCAGCACACACTGCCCCTCTGTTCTCCCTGCAGCCTGGAGTCGAGGAGGTGGAAGGTGTGCTAAGTGTTGCTGGTTCTGTTACTTTGGAAATTAACTAAAAATAGTGTGTTTACTTGCTGTCAGTCTCACTGGGGGGCACATGTGATGGAAATGCTGAAGGAGACACATGATGCCACCATGGGCCTCTGGAGTGGCCGTGTGTTTGTTTCCTGAGGGTGTCACTTGTGCCGATGAGCCTCTGACCCTAGGGACCCAGCCTTGACTGCCCAGGTGGTAGTCCTCTGTGCCCAGGGTTATGAGGTCTCCAGGTTTGTTGCAGCTTGCAGCCACTGGACACCAGAGACAGACTCAGGGCACACACATTGCCAGAGAGCTGGGCCGAGTAGCAGGGAGTGGAGGCCACAGTTCATGCTGGGATGGCCCACTCCACTTGCATGCTGAGGTTCCGGGGTGTACGGGAGCTGTGCCCCAGGCCCTCTCCTGTGTACATGAGCATGTGAGCATGAGCTATGTGAGCATGTGTGTGTGTGCCCTGCAGTGTGGGAAGGCTGTGGCTGTGGTAGTACTTTGAGAACCTGGGAGGAGAACTGCAAGCCAGGAACCCTGAGTGGGCAGGAGGAGGAGGGACTGACACAGGGCTTCAGGGCCCGCAGGCTGTGGTGAGGAGCTGGACTTTATCAGAGTACATGGAAGGGAGTTTTATGTTTTTGCTGGGACTCAAACCTGGCATCTGCACGCTAGGCAGGATTGTGCAGAGCTGAACTCTGCTTCCCAGCAGGGTTTTGGCAAAAGAGTGACCATTTCCCATTTAGAATTGGCTGACTGGTGGCTGGGTAGAGCATAGGGCAGAGTCCAGGGACTGGGCAGCCTGCCTGGAGAGGGGCTGTTTGTGGGGATGAGGAAGACGAGTTCAGGGAGAGTCTGGGTCCAATGTAGCCACACAGAGGTGACAGGCACGGCCCAAGTTGTATGGATGGAAGTGCGCTCCCTCTCCGAGTCCATGTCCGAGTCCATGCCTGGGAAGTTCCTGAGCTTGGTACATTTCCGGTGGATGCTGAGGACACGGAGTGCCATGGTGCACTTGAGTTATCTAGGAAAGATGGGTTTCACAATAGGACAGGTAGAGGAAGGGGTGAGGGCCCCTGAGCAGTACACACACTGGCGCCCAAGGCCAGGAGGGGTGTCCCCGAGGCCTCGGTGTGAGGCACTCCCAGGTGCGGGTAGTGAGCCACACATCACACTTGCAGGTGGGCATCAGGCACTGATGCCAGGTATGTGGTGGGTGCAAGGGAGCTGTGTGTGTGTGTGTTTTAACAGGGTGATCTTAGAGCAGTCTGCAAACTGCTGCGGTGACTAGGAAGGGATTGCCAGCCTACAGTGCCTGCAGGCCACATCTGGCTGCCATGTCTCAGCGTGTGGTTTTGTTGGGACATCCACGCATGCTCCTCCGTGTTCTCTGTGGTGGCAGGGTAGAGTATGCGATAGACCTGCAGCCTCCAGGCCTGAAGTACTGTATTTGCCAGCCAGCCCTTGACAAGGTATTTACAGTGCCTGGTGCTGCAGAGCTGACATGGGCACAGCTGGCGAGGAGGGGCCAGGATGGCGCACTCAAGAGGCAGGTGCAGTCTCTGAGGGAGCAGTGGCCCTGCCAGGGACACTGTGGGACTGGGGTGTCAGCCTAGGTGGGGCAGCCAGCAGGAAGGCTATTGGCGCTGTGCATGCCTGGGAATCTGTTTCTCACTTCCGCCCTGCCACTTACTGTCTGTTTGCTTTGGTTTTCTGGGAAAGGAGCCCTGGAAACCTGCGATAGGAAAGTGAAGTGGTGGCCCCGTTTCTATGCTCTTCCTCCCCTGGAGCTTGCTGGGCATGGGTACTTTCCTCACTCAGAGTATCCATGACACCCTGATGCATGTTTGGGCTGCTCACTGCCTCCCCTTTCTTCTTTCATTTTTTATTTATTATTTTTTATCTGAACTATTTTTTATATACATACACGTTTTTTTCCCTTAGCTTGTCATGCTAATGAAACAATACGATGTTTACTCAAGTGTCTCATTTATACATTAATGAATATGTTCTCAAGTCCCATTCATTTATCCCTTTCATTTTAAAACATCTCAGAGCTGGTACGGTTCTGAGCAGTTGTTTTCCCAGAGGGTAAGTAGAGGTGCACAGCATGAGGCAACTTTTCCAAAGTCACAAAGTTGTGGTGGACCCAGGGGAGCTATGGGTGGTACCACTGTGCGAATTCATGGATCTAAAGTGCTGGGTACACTGATTCTTGGGGGGAATGTGCAGAATTTCCCTCATGCTCACAGAGTACCCCCAGTTCTGTGTTCAGAGATGGTCACTGGGGTTCAGATAATGGTTAATACAAACTCAGCTTCCATCATTCCTACCTGATGTGAAATGTGGGTTTGGTACACCTAGCTCCCCAAATTCTGGGCTCTGGGGACACAGGTCTCATGTGTGCTAATGAGCCCACCCCTGGCCAGCAGCCAGGGGAAAACAGACCCTGCACATGTGGTATCATAGTGATTTGGATAGTGAGGGCATAGTGGGAGAAAGTGAATTACCCCAGCACTGAACCAGCTGTTCCTGCCTGTTGTAGTCAGGGCTTGCAAGGGAAACAACTTAATACAGGACACATAATTTATAGTATTATTTTGTAATAGTTACCCAAAGAGTAAAATGCAAGAGGTAGGAGATCTGTCCACACACTAAAGACCCCAAGAATCCAGCTGAGGGCCTGGTTCCCATGGAAATATCCTTGACAAGTCCAGCTGGAGGCCTAGAGCCCACCACAGTGTCTCTGCACTGGGAAGGCCCAAAGGTCAGCAGTGGAAGCTGGAAAGTCTGCACTAGTGGGAGGAAGGGTCTGGGCCAGCAGGCAGGGAGATCTGCAACAGAGCCAGGAAGTGACTCAATGATGAGAGCTTCCCCAGAGAGAACCACAGCCATTCTCAGGGATCTGAGAACCCAGACTCCTCTGAAGATGGGAACAGCTGAGTTTGAATCAGGAAGCCAGCATGACGGACTTCTCCTGGAGGATCAACAGCACCCCTTCCCTTCCAGTTTTTTTGTTTGTCTGTTTGTTTGGTCTTTCTGAGACAGGTCTCGATATGCAGTTCACTTTGAGGTCACTTTGTAGCTTAGACTGGCCTTGAACTTGCAGTGACCCCCTATCTCAGCCTCCCAAGTGCTGGGATTACAAATGTGCGCCTCCAGGCCTGCTCTGGTTCTGCTTGTATGCTGTTGGCGATGGTCCTCAGGTGGGCCCTCCACTCCCAGCACCACGCCAACTCAGTTCAGCTGGGTGTTCAAGGTGCCCACCAGTTGTTGATCTGCCACACTGCCCCTGGCTGCTGTAGGTATGGCTGGGGTAGGAGGCCCGGTTAGGTCAGGTCAGGGTTGCCTTCGGGCATGAGCCGTGTCCTGCCTGCTGTTCTTCACCTTCCCCCAGGGCCTGAGGCCTTTCAGTCCACAATGGAGCTGAAGTGGGAGCTGCCCTCTTAATTCTGAGATGCAGATTCCAGCAATTATTGGTCCTGCCTGTGCCTCAGGTGCCCTCGCCTATGGCCACTAAAGTCCCCAGCCCTGGCTCATGTGGTGTGGTGGTGGAGGCCTGAGGTGGGTCCCATTGCAGGGACTGGTCTTCCGGGGTCTGCAGGGAGACAATGGTATGTTGGGCATTCTGTCACGGGGGCCTTCTGTGTGACCCTGTAGTGTATCCTGACAGGGACTGGGGTAAGGCTCCCCTGCCAAGCCCTTTCCCAGAGAGACAAACACCCTTCTGTGTGGAAGCATGCAGTGTCTCCCACAGCTGAGAAAATCAGTTTTCTAGTGACATCAGGCTGTAAACTTCCTGGCTGTCTCTCATCTGAGAGTGTGAGGCGTTGTTTGTTTTCACTATGGTGCTGGCCCTTGGTCTGCAAGAGGTCACTCTCAGGCCTGGCTCAGGCGCTGTGGGTCCCTGGTTTTTCTCCACTGGGGTTATCACCACCGTGACATTTTGCTCTCATAAGGCTCACCTCTGCTTCATGCTGCAGTGCCAACGGCATCCTCCTACTGGGGAGGCCGCACCCTTTGTGCTGGTCCCCATCCCGGGCTGGGTGAAGCTCTGGCCCATGGCTTCTTAGGACCCAGTAGATGGGCTGGGCTGTGGAGGCTGGAAGGGGGCCCGGGCCGTGTTAGGGAGTGCTGATAGAGGGCCCCAGAGAAGTCAAGTTTACTTTTATTTGACAAAGAAGTGGTCGTTTCAGTTTAACTTAGCACTCTATTTTTACATTTACTAAAGATGGGAGAAGAAACACTCAGCAGAGCGAGTTTTGGCCGAGTAAGCATAGGGAGAAAGGTGCACTCAACAGCAAGCTGCTGTGAGCGTGCACGGAAGCCACACGCGAGGGACCTAGCGTGCTGTCCTTAGGGGTCTGGTAGCCATCCAGGGAGGCTGCTGATGAGAACGGGCCACGCCCCCCGGCGTCTGTGACGCTCACGATGGGACCTGGATTAGGAAGCACGTTTTCCTGATTGCAATGCACGTGTACAAGCCTGCGGTAATTCAGCACGCGCCTACAGGGTGACGCTGCAGTGTAGCGTCTTTCCCCAGGCTAGGAATGGTGGCTCTTCAGAGGTCGTGTGGGGTGCGTCCTGCGCTGTGGTGGCGCTGGTTACCCTGGTCTGCAGACAGCCAGAGCTACTTCATCTGGAGCCGTTTCTCAGGTGCCCGATCTCACTTTCGCCTCCCAGTCTCTAGTGACCGCTGCTTGAGAAAATGGAAGAAATGGAATTCGTTCTTCTCTAGGATGTTTGGTAGAATTCAGCCAAACGCCATTAGGTCCTAGATGTTTTATAGACAGGAGCCTTAACTATTGCATCAGCCTACATTTTGTTTCTTTTTAGTTCACTTTTAGTATGTTGTACACAGCCAGGATTTGTCCACTATTTTCCAGTTTGTTAGGTATAATTGTTCATAATTTCTTTTTTTTTTTTTTTCACATTTTTTTTTTTTTTTTAATTTAAGAGGAAAAAGAGAAAAACACAAAACAAACCAAAGCGGCGTAAGGGTACAAGCAATACAGAACTACAAAACAAAACAAAACAAAACAAAACACCATAACAGTAAGAAATTACCTGCTAGTAGATTACACACTATTTTCTTGAAAATAGTTCCTCAAATCACAGTATCAAAGAACACAAGGTGGACATTCAAACAGGGAGACTGCAAACAGCTGTGTTCAATGTTCCAAAAACATTGATAAAGTCAGCTATTTAACACCCCCAAACACACTTGCTGTTATATCCGTTAGAGCTCCTTTTCTTTTTTTTTTTTTCCCTCTCTTTTTTACAACAAAATTTACACATCTTGGATTTTATTACTCCTTAGTGCTTATTACTTTCTTTGGGGGGGGGTCATAATTTCTTAAAGTTTAAAAATATTTTAGTAGTTTCTTATACCTTTTTATTTCTGTGGTACCAATTGTAACATCTTTATCATCTCTGAATTTATTTGGTTCATCTGTCATCTATTTTCTTGATTAGTCCATCTAAAAGTTTGCTGATTTTGTATATCTTTTTAATAAATTGATTTTTTTGCTTCATTGATCATTTATGTTGTATATGGAGGTGGTTTAAGTTTCAACTTTATTTCTGTTCTGATCTTTGGGAGTTTTTTGTTTGTTTTTGTTTTTGTTTCTTTTGTACCAGGGATCAAAATCACAACCTTGTAGTTAGTTGCCAAGCATGCATGGTGCTGCTAAGCTATATCCCCAGCCCTGTTTATTGTTTCCTTCTCCTAATTTTTGTTTTACTGTATTTTATTTTGGTACTGGAAGTCAAACTCAGGATCTTGTGCTTGCCAGGCAATAGCTATGTCACTGAGCTATATCCTCAGCTCATCTTCTCCTAATTTCGAGTTTAGTTTGTTATTTGCTAAATACTTGAGGTGCCTTGGTAGGTTATTTGAAATCTTTTTTTCTCATTAACCAGAGATCAAGTCGCGGATACTTTACCTCCAAGCTACGTGCTGCTCGTCCCTTGTTATTTTTTGAGACAGGGCTTCACTAAGTCATACAGCTGGCCTATAACCTATACAACCGCTTGCTCAAGCTCCTAGTAGCTGGAGTTCCAGGTATGCACTCCCACAACTAGCTTCATTATGTTTTAGGGGATATGCATTTACTGCAGTAACCTTCCCTCTTAGTACTGCTTTTGCTCTGTCTCTCTCAGATTTTAATATGTCTAATGTTTAGTATGGTCATTTTTTTGTTGTTGTTGTTGTTTCAAAAACTTCTGTTTTTCTTAAGTTTCTTCAGTTACCCATTGGTCATTTAGGAATGTGTTGTTCAATTTCCATATAGTTCTATATTTGCCTCCATTCTTCTTGTGGATTTCTAGTTTTATTCATGGTCTGAGAAGATACATGATATGACTTCAGTAAAAATGTATTGATGGTTGGTTTGCATCCTGTCATATATGATCTATTCTGGAGACAGTTCGGTGTGTCACTGCAAAGAATGTGTATTCTGCTGCTGTTGAATAAAATGTCTGTCAGGTCTATTTTCTTTTTGTTTTTCTTTTTTTTTTTTTTTTTTGAGACAGCATCTCGCTATGCAGTTCAGACAGGCCTGGAGCTCACTTTGTAGACCAGGCTGGCCTCAAACTCATAACAGTCCTCCTGCCTCAGCCTCCCAAGTGCTGGGATTACAGGTGTGTGCCACCACACTTGGGTTTCCCACTGTTTCTGCTTGTCTGGGAAACACTTTATCTCTCCTTCCTATAGGGTCTGAGGGGAATTGCTCCCCTGGTGCCAGGAGCTGGCCTTCAGGACATGCTCCCAGGGGAATGGGGCAGGAATCCCACTCTAGGGTGACAGAGGGAAGGAGTATAGGCCTGGACCTGGGGTCTTGGCTTCGTCATGTTGCCACTGAGAAGAGCCTTCAGAGCAACCTTGGCTTCCTGGCTGGTCTCCTCATGTCTCTAGTCCGAGTGTGTGGGTCCAGTTTCTGCCTCTACTGCCCACTAATTCATCTCTTCTCTCTCAGAGGTGTGTGCGTGGCCCCAGCGCAGCACAGCAGCCCCTGCGCAGATGAGTGGTGATGTCTGCATCCACTCCTGGTCTTGCTCCTACTACCTGGACCTTGAGAAGCGATGGGTCCCTGGGAGACTGGCCTTGATGCCTTGCACACTGAAGTTCACGGCAGACGGGGTCGGAGCCGTTCTTGTGAGCCTGCACCTCTCCAGCATTGTGGCGATCAAGAAGGAAGCCTCACACTTCATCTTCAGTGCCATCACCATCCTGGAGCAAGGCCACCACAAGTACTGGTTCAGCTCTCTGCGACCCAGCCGCAATGCCGTCTTTAATGTCATGGAGCACTTCTGGAGGGAGCTGCTATTGTCCCAGCAGGGTGCTGTTGCAGAGGCCACCTCCCCCGCCCTGAGCAGAGGGCAGGAGCTGACCAGGCTGATGGCTCACTCCCAGAGGCGCCTAGAAGATACTGCCAGGGTCCTGTACCACCAGGGTGAGAAGCTGGAAGGCGTCATGAAGGGCCTAGAAAAGATGGAGTCAGACCTGGATGTGGCTGACAGGTGGGACCCGCTGAGGGGAGAAGGATGTGAACCCTGTGGCTGGCCTGCGCCCTTTGAGGGTGGCACCAGGAGCCCCATGTGGGTGGAGGTCCCTGAGGTGGGATGAACATCTTATGGTGACGAGCCCTGCTGCTGGAGGTGACACACATCCCCTTTTAGTGATGGTCTGGGTCACACTGTATCATACTTCTCGTGTGTGCGTTTCCAGATGTGTTTCCTGGTGGACCTTGTGGAGCTCAGGGTTTACTCCTCAGAATGGGAAGTTTTCCCAAATTGTTTCTCCACTTAAAAGCATGGTCTGCACAGAACTTCCTTTTTGCATGTCTGTGATCCTTCACTGATTTTCTTACATGTTCCCTCTTCTTTTGCTTCGTGCTTTTATTTCTCTTCAGCTTTATATTTGTGAAATTTTCTTTTACCCTGTCCCATGCTCTCTGTGTGATGGGGGATACAGCAGTAGGCTGGAAATCAGTGCCTCATGCTGGGGACCTGGCCAGGCTTGATGAGGGGCTGCTCTTTGGAGCACACACCCCCAAGGATGATGGATGTGATGTCACCCGTGCTTGGTGGGCACCAGGCCTGGCAAGCCACTCTTCTTGTCCAGTGTGGTCCCTGTACCACCCCTGCTTAAAGAGGCTGTGCAGCCTCCATTGCTGACTGCCATTCATATGGCTGGGTCTGCCCCACCAGATGTTTGCTCTGGGTCACGTCTTTGTCCTGTGCCTGGGGAGTGAAGTATTGGCTTGCCCCTTAGTAACACCTTCCCACTATACTTCTTGGAAGATATCCTTTAGAATGCTCTCTTTAGCACACCTAGCTCAAACTGGGTTTAAGTTTCTGTATGTATTGCTCAAGCATTAGTTGTTTGTTTTTGTCTTTTTTGAGACTGGTCTCACTATGCAGTTCAGGCTAGCCTTGAACTCACTTTTATAGCCCAAGCTAGTCTTGAACTCCGAAGAATCCTCCCACCTCAGCCTCCTGAGTGCTGGGATTATAAGCATGAGCCACCACGCCCAGCTCTCTGCGGCAGGGATTGAACTCACGACCTCGCGCTTGTCATGCAGGCACTTAGTAAATCCCCGGCCCCCACACATTAGTTTTGAAGTAGATTCTTTCTCTGTCAGGAATAGTTGTGCTTGCCTGTCTTCCCAGGTACTTGGGAGGCTGAGGCAGGAGAGTTGCAGGTCCAAGAACAACTCAGCAAAACCTATCTCAAAAATTTGATACAGAGTTGGAGAGTTAGCTCAGTAGTAGAGTGCTTGCCTAGCAAGCCTGAGCCCTTGAGTTCAATCCCCAGTGCCACAGAAAAATAAAAGTGGAAAGAGGTAGGAGGGAAGGGGAAAGTAGGAATTTTTGTGTTTGTAGTTACAGCAGTCTCCCTCCCACTCCCAGGTTTGCTGTCCTCAGTGAAGTCCCTTTGAGTGTGTGTGGATTGTGGTGGCATGATGATGTGACACCTCTCTGTGTGCTCCTGCCCTGCACAGCCGCACAGTGGACCTGAGACCTGAATGCTAGGGTATCGTGGTACCTGTGTTCAGGGCCTCAGCGTTACGCAGCCAAGGCCCCAGCACGCAGAGCAGGGATCCTGGTGACGCAGATCACCGAGCACAGCTGGAAAGTGCCTCCGAGACTGTGTCCATACCTGTGCTCTACTATGCTGTCCAAATTGCTCAGTTCTTATTCAGGGTTGCTCTTATTCTTTCCCTGTACGTGTCTTATAAACGGAGTGGGTTTAGGGGTCTGTGCAGTCCCCTTTGCCCTGAAAGTGGTCCTACTCTGCTGGGGGATGCGGGCCTGGCCCAGGCTTGCTGCCTTGCAAGACGCCCTGGCTCCTGGCCCTGGAGGGGGGTGTGTAATCAGTGAGCACAGAGCTGCATGCTCTTCCACAGCACCCAGCAGGCTCTGGAGAATGCTCAGGAAAGGACGTTGAGGCAGAGGGGCTGTGATGACAGCACTGTGAACCCAGTGCAGCCACAGAGACCAGTGATTGCAGCAGCTCTGACTCAGAGTTGTGCTCAGCAATGCCCCAAGAGCTGAACCCGGGGCCCATCTTGGGCAAAGTTGAGTGCCAGCACCTTCCACCTTAGGGGAGGGAAGCCAGAGGCCTGGAGTAGGGATGGCAGCATGTTCTTCTCAAGGGACCTGTTCACACAGGCTCCCCAAGGTCTCACACGTCATTGCCACAGCACGAGAAGGGGCCCAGCAGCTGGACAGGCAAGGCTCAAAAATAACAGCAGGAGCTGGGCTCCGTGGTGTCTTGTCCTTCGGTGCTGTGGGAGCAGCTGGCTCCTGTATGCTGGCGTGTCATTGCCAGGGGGGCTAGGATGGGTTTGAGACGGTGGCTGCTTCTGTCACACAAGTGGGTCAGAGACCATATTGGTGCAGAGGCGGCACCTTGGCCTGAAGGGTGCAGCTGCTGTCACACAGTGCAGGGGGCTGGAAGGACATCCCGCTGGAAGCACAAAACTGTGTGACTTCATGCAAACCTGAATCCAGAGCAGCCCAAGGAAGAGCAGTGGCTTCCAGAGGCGGGGGTGGGGGGGGGTGGGTAGCAGGCACCCCAGCTGGCCAGCCAGGAGGAGTGCAGGCTGCAGGTGCTACACACAGGAGGTGACTAGGCATCTTGCTGTGTCACCTGGCTCAGAACAGCTAAAAACAAAGGGTCCCGGGTGTTCTCATCACAAAGGAGCCGTATGATATGTGGGACAGCAGAGAATGGAGTTTCTGAGGTGATCACTGTGGAATACATGTGATGCTGAGACATCTGCGCCCATGAAGAGGTACATTTATCATCAATGGGAATCTAAGCAGTGAATTGAGCAGTGGAGTAGTCTGACTGTCAGAGGCCCACAAAGATCGCCTTCTAGTCACGGGTGCCGAGGGGCAGTGCTGAGCCGCACTACATCCCGACACGGGCTCTGGGTCATTTATCCACACTTGTTCATGCTGGCCCTTGGGAAGGCTCGGCAAGTATTTTGTCAGATCCTCATCAAGGCAAGGTTTCCCTGGTTCTCCTCATGGCAGGTGATTTTCCTTGGTCCCCTGGACACCTGGAGAACTGATTCACAAGACCATGTTAGCCTAAGTGGCCTCAGGCCCTGGCACAGGAGGGGACAGGCTGTCCAGCTCCCCAGCAGGTCACACACACAGCTCTGTGTCACTTTTGGCTGGGTTTGGACTCCTGGATGCTGTTGGCTCTTCTGAGACCTGACAGTTTGTGGCTTGTTGGGGATGCAGAGGCCTCAGAGAGCTCATTCTCTCCCGGCTTTTCTCTCCTTCTGACCTTCAAGCTGTGTGCTTCCTGTACATCTGTCTTCACATGAGATTCTTCCATCTGGCAAAGTTCCCATTTCTGTTGTACTTTTTCTTTGAGGTTTCATTTGATTCATTGATTTCTATCTTTTATGGGTAGTTTCTCTTTAACCAGTCATTGCCACCGTGTACACTTCATTAAAAAGGGGTTGCCTTTCCCTCTTTGGGCACTTCCAGTGGTTACTCCACCGTTCAAGCCATGCAGGAAAATGCAGACTGCAAGTCAGCTTCTCCTGTACTCTCCCTGATGGCCGGCACTGACCCCAGTGCGGGTTCTAATCCCTGCTCAGCTCCACACTGCTTGCTTGCTGATAGCACCACCCACAGGCTCCATCTCACCTGGAATTTGGACTCAACCCTGCTGGCTATAAATCAGGATCCCCTCCGCCTTCCTTGAGATGAATGAACTTGCTCCCCAGCTCACAGGGCTATGGACAGTGGCTCACTTCCTAGTTTCTCATCAGGGCAGCACCAGGCTGCAGATGAGGGGTGCAAGGGGCAGATATGGGGAGGCTGGGCTTCCTGCCCTCATTGGACCCCGCCCTGCCTATCTGCAGATCCCAGGAAGCCCCCTGAGCCCTGGCCTTGGAGTGATGAAGGCTTCATGGCAGGGGCAGGACTGAGTGAGTCTCTGGGTCCTCTGCCCTCCTAGAGGCCAGGCAGTGCTGGGAGTCCCAGTGCTGGGACCTTGCCTGGGTCTTTCCATGTCAGCCGGTCTGAAGCCACTCAGAGAGTGGGGCTATAGGTGTGTGTATGCACATGGGGCCCTCAGCCCAGCATTAGCATCCTGTTCTTTTACTATAGTGGGGGATTCCTGGCCCCTCCAATTTGCTGAAAGCTTTCGCATGCAGCTTCCTTTCCACACCTGTTGTGATTAGTGACCCTGCTGTTTCTCTAAGGTGATGGATTTCAGGGATTCGGTCACCCTCATCTCTGTGGGGTGAGCTTACAATTTGTTCCTGTCCCAAAGGCCTCAGCTGTGCACGCTGATGCTTTCCCAGGCACTACTTATGGGCGGGGAGTGCCATCCTGTCAGTTGTGGTATGCAAGTTGTGGTGTGGTCTGACAGGGGAGCCTTCCTTTTTTAGACAGTTCCTCCCCTTTCCCTTTCTCAGGGTACTTTGTACATTTTAGGTCCCACTAACTCCTGTAGTTTTTAGATCTGAGAGTAACCCGCTATCTACCTAAGTGGTTCTGAACTTTTTACCTTGAGCTTGAGCTTGAGCTGTATTCCTTTACTGACTAAAACCTCAAGGTTTTCCTTCCTTCTAGCTGAGTATTTCTCCACTGCACAAAAGTTTCATGACTTTCCCACCTATCTGCAGCTTTTGGACGAGCTGTCCTATTTCTCTCTGGTTCCCTGTCACATAGAGCATCATTTTCTCATCTTTGACTTTCAGTTCATTAACCCTCTTTCAGGTAGATTATATTTCCTATTCGGAGCATCTCGATGGACCCTATCTCCTGATCTCTTCTGCCTGTGTTTCTTTTTATAGTGTATCAAGGCCATCAGAGATTATAGCCAGTCTTCCCTGCCTCATCTCTGCTATGCTATTTTTCTGCTGTTGGTTGTCTACTTTTCTCCCATTCCACTGTCTGCCCCATTCGTTAAGGCTTTTCTGCCACTATTGCTGGAATCCTGGAGATATTTTCTATCTCTCTCTAGAATGTCCTTCAGTATGTTTTGTAGGGTTGGATTGGTGGTCCCGAACTCCCACAGTTCCTCTTTGTCATGGAAACATCTTGTTTCTCCATTCATTTTTGAGAGACATTTTTTCAGGGTACATCAATCTGGGTTGGAGGTTATTTTCTTTCAGGGCTTGGAATACTTCGCTCCAAACTCTTCTTGATTTGATAGTTTGTGTTGAGAAGTCTCATGATTTTGATGGGTTTTCCTTTATAGGTGATCTGTTTCTTTTCTTTGACTGCTTTTAATATTCTGTTCTTGTGATGAATTTCTGGGATCTTGATTATTATATGTCTGGGTGTAGATCTGTTTTGGTTGTAGCTGGCTAGAGTTCTATATGCCTCATATATCTGAATATCATTTCCTTTTCCTATGCTTGGAAAGTTTTCCTTAATTATTTGAATTAGCCTTTGTATTTCATTAGTGTTTACTCCTGCTTCTTTGCTCACATTTTTTATTCTTAAGTTATAGATCCTCTTGTCATCTTTGAGCCTTTGTATTGTTATTTCTTAGTTCCTTGGGTTTTTTTTGGTCTTTTTCGTTTTTATCGGTACCAGGGATCAAACTCACGACTGCCTATTTGCAAGGCAGGCGCTTATGCCGCTGAGCTAAACCCTCAGTCCTAGTTCCTTGTTATTTTTAAGAGATCGTTCCTTTCACGGTCACACATTGCAAATCTGTCTTCAAGTTTTGAAAGTCTAACTTTAGTTTCTTTCAAGGAATTTTGCCAGCTTTCTTTCTTTCTTTTTTTTTGGCCAGCTTTCAATGGAGTTTTTAATTTCCTGGCAATCTCTTTGGACCTGTTTGATATATTCTAGATTTTGTTTATATTCTTTTTTTTTTTTGTCTTTTTCCTTTTTATCGTTACCAAGGATCGAACTCACGACTGCCTGCTTGCAAGGCAGGTGCTTATGCCACTGAGCTAAATCCCCAGCCCCTTGTTTATATTCTTCATCAAAGGTTTCTCTCCTTTTTCTGAGTTCCTCCATTCTTCCATCTGTGTCTTCTTGAGAGGTGCTTAGCATTTCTTTTATTAACTTTTTATATCTTGCATCACTAGAATTAGAACTTCAGTTTTAAATTTGTCTATGAGGTCACAAAGGTATTTCTATATGTCTGCTGATGCTGTGTCCTGTATTTACCTCTCCTGGACTTACTTTCTCTGGGTCAGTGGCTGGAGGCTTTTTCTTGTTTCTTTCTCTTGTCATGTTTCTGGTTTCTTTCAGACAGGTGTATGGTGGAGGTTACAGGTCCTTTCTGTATTGTTTACAGTTTTTCTGAAGTGTGTTGGCTAGGGGCTTGCTGCCCTCTCCAGTTTGCTGTTGATTTGTGAAGTGGACGCAGGGCAATGTTGACTAGCCCCTCTCCTCTGAGCCGGTCAACCAGCAAATGCCTTCACCCCGTTAGTCTATGCTGTGCAGATGTCACAGGTTTGGGATAGTTTCATCTATGGCTATTGAGTCCCCACCAGGGGCATGACCCAGCCCAAGCAGATCCCACCAGTCCTCTTTGAGCCAGGAGAGCTGACTGACACCACTGTGATTCCAGGTTCAGGCCCAACTCCAATACGTCGTCCAGCCAGTCACCCCCTCTGCGGGACCCAATTCCTAGCACTCACTACGGGTTAGTGCAGCTCTCCACATTGGTTCTACTCTCCATTGGGCCACATCCTCCCACCAAGGGCCTTGGGCTCACCAACCCCCAATTTCAGTGCTACTGCGACTTCAGACTTCAGACTTCAGCAAGAGCGACTGAGCAACAGCAACCGACCCAGCGACCTTGATCGTAAGTTGTCTGACTCCAAGACACACCCAGCACAGCATGGGACCAGTTCCAGTGAGAGTGTGTCTGGTTCTAGCCTTTCATCCATGTTTTTCCTTCCTTTCTTTCTTTTTTCTTTTTCCTCAGTTTCTTCGTGGGTCGTGAGAATCACTCTCCTTTGGTCTGGTTTTCTCCATGGTATTAAATTCTAATATCTGAGTTGTTTATCTCAGAGAGGTCTCTCAGAGATCCTGCTACATGTCAATCCACCATCTTCCCAGAGCCAGTTTAACTTTTTAAAATCACTTCAAAAAACCAGATTTGATCTTTAGTAATGCTTTATTGTTTTGTTTTCAATTTTGTTGGTTTCTACATTTCATTTCTTCCAAGGCTGGTAGGATGGGAGGGGAGGGGTGGGGTAGGGTGGAATCAAGGCCTCATGCATATTTAGCAAGCAAGTGCTCTCTCTCAAGGGGCTGTATCCCAGTCCCAGCATGGATCACCAATTTTAAACATTATTTTCTGTGATTTTCATACAAGCACATTGAACCCTATACTTTCTCTCTAATGTCTGCCCTATTTTCTTTCCATTTATACTGAATTTTCATTCACTTTATTTTTGGTCCTGGAAATTGAACTCAGGACCTTGCCCTTGCAAGGCAGGTGCTGTGCTGCTGAACTATGTCCCTAGCCCTAGTTTGTCAAATCTTGCTTGGTGAAACTTAAAATTCTGTTACTAAGTGCTCTTGCTAAGTCTTTCTGTTGGATTGATTCCCCTGTGACTGTGCACTGCCCCTGAGTCCTCCTTAGCTTTTAGCATGCTAGATGGTGCATCTGTGTGCAGTCCATTGCTTTCCCTGCGTCTGCATTTTCGTATTTTACAGAACATCTTGTAGACAAGCTGCGGCTGGATCTTGTATCTTCAGGCCGATAGACTGCCTTCTGACTAGAGCATCTAGCCCATGTGCGTGAAGCATGACTATTATACACGGGTCAGTGTCTTTCTCTCCTCTTGCTGCTTGCTTCTGACATTTGCTTTCCTGCCCTTCTTTCATCTTTCTCTCATGGTGAGTCATCAGATGTACCTCTTGGAGGTGGTAGTGGTTCCTTTGGAGTCTGCTGTCCAGCATGGTAGCTGGAACTGAGTTATTAAGAAGTATGCTGTTCCTCGGTTGCACTGGCTGTGTTTCAAGTGTGGACGGCCACCACCACCTCCTCCCCTGTCAGACAGTGTAGACATGGGACCTGTCCATATTCAGCTGTTCAGAGCCTGAGGTCAGATTAGTTGAGCCCCAGGCTGTGGCAGCATTGCACGGCAAGGGCAACACTGCCACAAGGTGTGTGTGTGCTCAGCCGTACTGCTGTTAGCTGAGCTGCTTCAGGTGGTGCCTGCCCTGCCCTGATCCTCTGGTTCTGCTCCTCAGTTATGCAGGTGGCAAGTAGCTCTGCTAGTCCATTAGATGGGCCCTTAAGGGAAGACTGGCCATAAGATGGGAATGCTTCGAAAAGGTTGGCACAGCCTTCCAAAACTTAAAAAGCATCGCTCTTTAACTGGCTGGCTAGGGTTTTCTTCTTACTCTTTCAGATTGCTGACAGAACTGGAGTCCCCGTCCTGGTGGCCTTTTAGCTCCAAGCTTTGGAAGACGCCAGAAGAAGTGAAGCCTAGGGAAGCTATGCCCATGGCTGATGGAGAGCCATGTGGAAAGGAAGAGGTCATGATCCAGGTCCCTGCAGTGATCTCCCGAGGAGAAGAGGCTCCTGTGCAGCCAGGAGGGCTCACTGTCCTTGTGTCCACCCTGGAAATCCAGGACTCCCACAATGCACTCCTGCATAGGTTCCGGAGGGCAGACGTGGACAGTGTGGAGGTCCGCTCACCCTACGAAGTCAGCATTCGCCAGCGATTCATTGGGAAGCCTGACGTGGTGTACCGTGTGCTGTCTGCCAGGATGCCAGAGGTCATCCCCATTTTAGAAGTGCAGTTCAGTGAGAAAGTCGAGCTGCCAGGAGACGCCGACACGGAGGGGCTTGGGAGCTCAGAAGCGGCTTCCCAGGTGGCAGGGACCCGCCCTGTGTGGCCCACAGGTGAGCAGACCTGGAGGAGTGAGGCTACCCCTGTGGAGCGGAGTGGAATAGAGCGGGTCTTGCTCCTTGCCCATGTGGACATGGGCAGTTGGGGGCTGAGTGTCGCCAGACCCACCTGTGCTGCAGGCTTGGTTCTGGATGGAGCTTGCAGGAGGCTGGAGGACCCTCAGGAGTGGGGCTTCAGGCAAGGTCCTGAGGTCGAGGGCACAGCCTGCCCCCATCTTTTCACCTCGTTTTCACTTTTCTGCTCGCAGTAAGGCAGGTGGGAGGCACCTCGGTCCTTCTGTGAGCCTGTCACCAAGTGCCGCCCTCAGCCTCAGGCCTGAGCAGTGGGCCACATGGTCTGGACCTGGGGTCCTGCAGGGCCAGAGGAACATTAGACCCCAACTCCTAAGTTCATTACCTTGGATGTCTCTTTATTTTTTTTTTTTTTTTTATATTTTTTTGTCTTTGAGACAGGGTCTCGCCATGCCTTTCAGGCTGGCCTTCGGCTCACTTTGTAGCCAAGGCTAGTCTTGAACTTGCAAGGATCCTCCTGCAGGTGTGCCTCACCACGCCCAGCCAGTTGTCTCTTTATTGTGGTCAAATGCAAAGTTGGAAAGGGTCCTGCCAAGCTAGTATGCTGTGAAGGACTAGAAGCTGAGGTGAGGCAGAAGTCTCTTAGCTAGCTGTCTTGGAGGTGCAAGCAGCCCTGTTTGTGTAGCCTCAGGAAGAGCCACAGGAGAGTGACGCTGTATCATGAGAAGCCGGAGCGGGGGACCAGGCTTATCCCTCCAGGGCACCTCAGAGCAGTATCCATCGCCCAGGAGATGGTGTGGTGATCTGAGGACCCCTCGAAGCTCATCTCAGGCCCCATGTCCTCCCACATCACAGCCGGGGGCCTGAGACATGCTTGTGACATGTCCAGGACATATAGCCTAGGGCTTCCATGACACCCAAGCGTGAAGGGCGTGCCCAGGCCTGCCTGGCCAGTGTGGCCCTGCCCTGCGGAGGAGCTGCCCTCCCCAGCAGCTCTGCCATGTCCCCTTCCCGGCCTAGCCCAACCACCTGCCCTGGCATTGACCACATCTCTCCGGCCACCGCGTCTCCATATTGGAGTTTGTGGACTCAAGAGGGTGGCAGGACACAGTTGGGAGGGTTCACTCACTGGTGTGAAGCATCACAGTCACCAGGGCCTGCCACAGGTGCAGCTGGGTGTGCTGTGGCCCAGAGCATCCCGGATGAGGGTGAGAGCAGGGTACAGAAGGAGATGAGGACAAAGAAGGAACAAGGGAAACGATGCCACCTGCAATAGCACCCAGCAGTCCCAGTGAGGAAAGGAGCGGCCAGGCCAAGTCAAAGGAGGCATCTGGGCCCAGTGGGAAGGCAAACCAAGGCCAGGGAAGCAGGAAGTGTGGTGGACCTGGGGAAGGGAGGCTGAGGAGGGCATAGGGCGTCACATTCAGGGGAGGAGCACCTGTCCCAGCAGCGTGAGGCCTGAGCAGGAGACGGCTGAGTGTGACTTGGCAGGCAGCGTGAGGACTGGGGTCCCTATGTGTCCGTGTGCAGTGCCCAGTGAATCACATCCCACCTCTGTCTGTCCTGCATGGGAGTCGCATGCCTTCTGTAAGAAGCAGCTCTTGTCCTGGCCCCTGTGCTCTATCCAGTGTCGTCCCTTGGAGATGCCCTCCGATCTGACGGGATCTCTCCTGGTGCAGACCCTCTTCCCTCCGGCAGATCCTTTTGTGGAGCTTGTGCCCAGTGGCATGTGGTCATCCTGTCCTGTGTGGCACACAGGATCCAAGCCCATGTCCTGCCTTCTGTGGGGCAGGCACCAGCTTCCATCCCTGTGTTGGGGTGGTGGCACACTGCAGGTAATATATGGCTCCCTGCTTGCTTTGCCTCCTGGTGGACACTCTGGCACATGGAGTTTGCTCAGTGAGAGGTGCAGCCCTTTTTGTTTTTTGCTTTTGCATCTTGGCCTTGAAGGTTTTCACACTGAGCTAAGTCTCCAGCCCTTGCTAAGTTACTGTGCAGGCTGGGCTCAGATCTGTAATCTTCCTGCTTCGGCTTCTGGAGCACAGTTGCCTGCTGTCCTGTTTTCCAAGGATGGGTGTGCCTAGTGGCTCATGGGCTGGGGACCCAGCCTTGTGGCTATGTGTAGGAGTTGCCGTGAATGGCCTTGGGTCCTGGGTGCCTTGCACCTCTGTTGGCCCTTTCGTGCTGTCTGGAGTTAGAGCCAGCGCAGACCTAGGAACCCGCTGTAGCCACACGGGGGCAGTGTCACCACAGCCGCAGGCTTCTTTGAGGGCACTGAGGTCTCCGCAGCAGGAGTAGCCCTGGAGGCCTGGGTGTGGTCTGGTTGGAGGCTGTGCAGGCCTGTGAGGGGAGGGCTATGACACGTGGGAGAAGGGCTGCGCTCTTGGGTGTGCGTGTGAGCCCTGCAGCTTGGGTGTCCAGGGCCCAGGACCCGCTCTGTGCATACCTTTGCTCCTGGCCTGGGAGCGGCTGTTCACAGCAGTGCTGACATGCATGGAAGCCAGATTCTGCACAAGACTTTTTGCTCAGCCAGTGCTCAGAATGTCCTGAGGCTCTGGATCTTTGGGCTTGGAATATTTGGTGCCAACCCAGAAGTGATCTGGGTTCCACCCCATGTGATAGAAGTGCTGGGGGTTCAGGGGGCCTGACCAGAAGGCCACCTAGAGGAAGCTGTCTGGCTGTGTACCTTACCACGTAGGAATGCACCAAATGCTGCCGTTCCGGCCTCAATGCCCTGTGCTGCCCTTCCTGCGGGCCACATGTGCAGTTATATGTCTGCAGCTCTTGGGCTCCCAGAGTCAGCGCCCAAACCCCTACTGGGTCACAGGCTCAGTATGCTTCCTGGCCTCTTCCAGGGTGTGCGGTCCCCCTTGTCTCCTTTCCTCAGGAGCCCCTACTGCTACCTTTATTGAACATGACTGTTACTGAGGGGAATGGTCATTCTCCTTAGATGTTCAAGTATCCAGGGACCAAGTTGGCACCAGCTGTGGTGGTGGCAGGACCTGGCTTCCTGTGTCCTGGCCACATGCAACTGCGGAGAGCATCCAAGCCCAGGCCCTCGTGGTGATGTGTGACACCCAGGGGGAGCCCTGCCTTGGCTCGGGTTGTATGCAGAGTGTGGGCGTCGCTGCCCTGTGGCCCCTGGCAGCTTTGGCTCCACTCCCCAGAGCTGCACTGGAGCCATAGATCCTTGTAAGGAAGCACTGAGGACACGTGCAGAGTTGGGAGTCAGGGGCCACAATAGGGGCAGGCTTTCGGCGCCCCCTGACTGCTTCAGGTTGCCCCCTTCATGCCTGGCCAGTGTCCTGTGTCAGGTCTCACTGTCCTGTGGAGGCCGTGAGGGGCTGTGCAGGGAGCACCACAGCCTCAGTGCTGGACAGACACAGGCTAGAAGCCAGGCTGCTGCAGCCAGGGCTTTCAGAGAGTAGGGTAAGAGAGCAGCAGTCCCAGAGATGTGTCCCAGGGTGGCTCAGAAGCCAGGGGAGTAGGGTGGGTATGGTGCCAAAGGGCCTCGCTGCTGCAGGCTCTCTGCCTTCTTGTCCTGCCCACCTGCAGGCGTCCTGGACAGGAACTGGAGGTGGCTCATTAGGGTTAGGAGCTGGAGCAGTGGTGAACACCCTGTCTCTCTCCTGGGCAGTATGGAGCTGCATAGCTACATGCTGAGCTGTTCAGCTTCTGCCCTCAGGCCAGCAAGAGCACTTCCCTTCCTGCTGTGTCCAGCAGGGCCTGTAAGCTGCAGTGTCATGTCCTCAGAGCGCCCTCCATTTCCTCACTGCCTGACCAGTACACTGACCACGCCTCCCTTCATTTACAGAGCCTGCCTTACACAAAGAAGCCAGACCTTCACTGCAGCCATTACCGGGGCTGTGGTTGCTGGGGGTGCAGCTGGAGCTGTTCTTTGGGTACTGGCTGTGGCCACCAAGAGCCATGTTTCACTGCACAGTTGGCACCTCAGCAGCCCTGCCCTGTCCTGGGTGTAGTCACTCAGTGTGTAGGTATTCAGAGAGGCTGAAGCCCAGGGGCCACCCTGAGCCTTGGAGATGCCTGGCCCCTTCAGCTCTGCCTGCCTGGGGAGTGCAGCTTACTGCCCTGGCAAATGGGTACACACACAGTGGAGCGCAGCCCAGGGTTGGCCATTTCCTGTGCTCTGAACCACAGTGCTCTGTGGAACAGCTCAGCCACCCCTGCGGTTTCCTGGTGGTGTGTTGCATGGGCCTTTCACCACGGTCCAGCAGTTCTGGGGTTTGATTTTCTACATCTTTAATTTTCTCACACAGAGCTGATTGAGTGGGGTGAAGTGCTTCTTTAGAAAGATGGAGTGAGCTGTGGGGATCTACAGTGCTGCACACTTGGGGTATGGGATCAGGCAGACCTTGGGTGGGACACACACAGATACCCAGCTGGACCAGCACTCAGGCAGGCCCAACTGCCCAGTGAAATTCCGACATGCGTGAGGTTTTTGGCTTCTGAAAGCCATCCCCACTGACCTCAGCTTTCTGTTCCAGTATCCGGGCTCATGGGCTGTGCTGCACCTGCAGGAGGCCAGAAGGGCAAGCAGCCACACCTGCAGGGCGCCCAGCCACTGCTTTCCGAGGGGGATACCAGGGAGCTGACACAGGTGAGGCCTGGCTGACCTCTCACGGGGTGAGGAGGAGGGTGTGCTGGTCCCCAACCTGGAAGGAGAACAGGAAGAGCTGCCTGCTCAGAGCCCTATGTTCCACACCTGAAATTTGCACAGCAGGCAGAGCTGGCCTGTGTATGTGTGTATGCACACATAGGTGCCTGTGGGCTGTAGGTTATGCCTACACTGTGTGTGTGTGCGTGCGCTATAGGTTATGCCTGTACTGTGTGTGTATGTGCTGTAGGTTATGCCTACACTCTGTGTGTGTGTGTGGCACATGCATGTGACTGTAGGTTATACCTACATTGTGTGTGTGTATACACGTGTGTGTGGACTGTAGGTCATGCCTATACTGTGTATGTGTACGTGTGCCTGTGTGCTCTGCTCATGCCATTGCATGTACTGTGCAGGTATTGCTTGTGTGAGTGCTTTGTGCCTTTTTGTGCTCTGTGTGTGTGCACATATACTTGCATGTATACTGGTTTGCTCGGTACCATGTTCTAAAGGAGGCTCACCTCCTCCCCAGGAGATTGAAATCCTTTTGGCCTGGATGTTTTTAACCAGTTTTCCTGTGGTCTTGTTGACTGTGTCATGCCTTTTTGTCCTCTCATAGTTTGGAAGCAGGGCCTGGCCATTGTACCATTTCATTTGCAGATAACAGTAGTTAAAAAACACAACATTCTGCTCATCTCACCTTAAAAAGAAGAGCAGTCCTTCTTGTGTCTCAGTGAGTACCCTGTCCTCCTGATGACACACAGCCACTTGCCCACCTTGGTCCTGTAAATGGTCTGTGGCCAGGTGTCCTGAGACCTGCTAGGAGGTGCTGCCCATGTCCGGTGGGGTGGAGTGGCGGGTGGCCTGCTGAGCCTGTGTATAGATCCTGCACTCAACACAGACACAGCCTCTCTCTGCTCAGCTGCTGTCTGGGAAAGACCATTTGTCTTCATCACTTTTTCCTCCTGGTCAGACATGACACATGCTTGTAACTTAAGCAGCACATTCTGCAGGTCCAGGCTCACTCACCAGCACTTGTGTGGGTCCAGGCCCAGGGAGACTGAGATTCTTACCAAGCTCTTCGGGGTACAAGGCAGGGTCCTGTGCTGCTTTCTGTGTCCCACCATTCGACTTAGGCAGAAGGAGCAGCTGTGCTTGTAGAGGAAGGTGGGCATCTTCCCTGTCCTCAAATGCTTTGTTGTTGAAGGGGGCAACAATAAATCCCGGAATTCCAGTCTCTGTACCTGGACTTGCCATCTCCACAGCCAGCCTGGAACCCGCATCATGGCACAATGTTATCCCATTGCTCTGGGAGGCTATGGTGGGAGGATCACAAATTTGAGCCCAGAATGGGTAATTTAATGACTTAGTGACACCCTGTCTCAAAATAAAAGAGAAAGGGCTTTGGAATGTAGCTGAGTACAAAGGCCCTGAGTTCAACTCTAGTACTACAAAAAAGGAAAAATACAGGGGCGGCAAAGAGATGTAAGGAGGAGCACACACCAGTGTGGGGTGGGGTGCCCTGATGATGGTGACGTGTACCAAGGTGTCCCCCTGAGTTGGGATGGGGCTCTAGGCCACCAGGACCTGGTGTGGGAGAAGGTGGTCCTGCAGGCTGGGCTGGGGGCAGAAAGAGGGCTGCATCGGTTGGGAAGCCTGGCCTAATTTTACACGAGGAGACACATGTTTCATATTTGGAGGAGAATTTGTAGCTAAAGCTCAAGCCAAAGAAGGAAAGAGTTAAATTTGTGGCGAAGGAAAAATCCAAGAAATCCTCCTCCAAAGCTGTGGTTTTGGTCACAAATGCTGTTAACGCCATTCCTTGAGATGTATCCTGGTGACTTCAGTTGTAGTTGGGATAACCGGGGAGGTGGCTGGAACTGTGTTGGGATGGGAGGGAACTATGTGGGTGCCTGGGACCCCCTGTGGTCTGAGGCCTCCATCTGCCACGTCACTGCAGCTGGCCCAGGAAGAGCTGGGTGGTGCAGGGAAGCCTGCCCACAGGTCTGGCAGAACCCCAGCTCGCCTTACCGTGTACCTCCTTGGAGCATGCACTCGGCTCGGGTGGTGTGGGTGCTGCATCTTTGCTGTAGGTCTGGAGATGAGGCATAGAGGTGGCTGCTGGCTGTCCCCAGAGCGGGTACTTCTGTCAGCAGGAGGCCCCTCATGGCGCTGCCCCAGGCCTAGCCTGGAAGGGGTCAGGGCTGGAGGGTGGTGGCTCCCCCTGCCACCTGCTCCAGCCACAACAGGGGCTTGGTCATAGGAAGCTGTAACCCTGTCTTGGACTTTGCATCACCCCCCACCCTGCCATACACAAAACTGGTAATAGTCAGTGATGACTGGAGTCTGAAGTAGAAGGGGCAGGCATCTTTCTGTGTGCTGGAGACCTGGGGGACCCAAGTCCAGAACAAGGATCTGTACCAGAAAGACCTAAGGGCCAGTGGTGGAAGCATCTGTGCCAGAAGGCTGGGATCTGTATTGGAAGCCAGGAGATGACATCCAAGATGGAGATGAGGACTGACACTCCCTTGAAGGAAGACAGCAGCCAAAGCTTTTTTGAAGAAAATCCCCCAAAAAGCAGCTTCTTCAGGCAGATTAGCAGCCCGCTGTTTACCCCTGCCATTCTCCTTTCATGTCATTCCAACAACAGTCCTTAGGTGTGTTTTCCATGTCTAGAACAATGCCGGTTCAGTTTAACTGGGGGTTTCCACTTAAGCCGACCATTATTAATTAACCCACCACCACTTTGTCACAGACAGCAAGGAAGAGACACAAAAATTAAAAGCCAAGTCCATGTGCTGGGTCCACTCAAAGTCAGTCCTACCTCAGGGACAGCACAGGTGGCTCATGATTGATGTTGCAGTGGGAGGGCAAGGCCGTGGCCCACCAGAATGCCAGCACCTGTGGAAACACTGTGCCAGCTACACCAGACTCGCATCTGCCTGCCCTGACAGCTAGTTGGGGTGCTCCAGAAGTACTTCTGGATTCTCTACTGACTGGGAACCCTAGAAAGCGCTACCCTTCTCTGACTTTGCATCTGCTGGCCTTTTCAGAAAACACAGAACACATAGTCATTATAGTGTCAGTCTTGTGTCACTGGGACAAAATACCTGATGCGATGTGCAGGAGGAAATGTTAATGTGGCTCATGGTTTTGGGGGGTTGGTCCATGGTTGGTGGGCTCCAGGGCAGTAGCATCATGGTGGAAGGGTGTGGGTCGAGGGCAGCATTCACCTCGTGGCAGCTGAGCAGAGATAAGGAAGAAAGCACGTTTGCCCTCTAAGGCCCTATGATCCATCTCCTCCATCATCTGTAGTAAGCTTAGAAACTGGGAAGTGTAAGTCTTCCTACTACTGCTAGTTCCAGATTATTTTGGAGGCCTTGAGCCCCTTATGGTTTCATAGAAATTTGAGGATTTTCTTTTTCAGTTCTTCAAAATGCTTAGGGATCAAACCAGCTGTTGCAGCGTGAAGTCCATGGCCTAGAAGTGCAGCCTGTCTTCCTGCTTACAATGGTCTCTAGTTTTCAGCAGCATTTTGTCATTGTCAGTGTACAAACTCACCATGTTGGGTAAACTCTGCTATTCTTTGGGTGCTGTCATAGTGGTTATTTTCCCAGGTGCCCTTTCTAGGTTTTGTTGCTGCCCTGTAGCAACAGCTGGTTATTGCTGCCTTGGTCCCGCATCCTGCAGCTGTACTAAATTCTCTGGTAGCTCCCCGTGCCCTGTTGGTCCTGCATCCTGCAGCTGTACTAAATTCTCTGGTAGCTTCCTGTGCCCTGTTGATATCTCTGGGGCCTCCTGCAGTGATCTGACCCCACCCTTTGCACAGACCGAGCTCCTGTGGCTTCCAGCACAGTCCTCTCTGCAGTGGTGTCATGCCTCACGGTGCTAGGTGCCAGAGTGGGTACTGGGTGACTGCAGTGGAGGCATGCATGCGTCCTAACAGTCTAGGCAGTGGCCCTAAATGTGGCTCTGGGGGTGTCCCCAGAGGGTGGGGCCTCGTGCACCGCTGCCTGTCCCCACAACATTCCATCCAAGCCCCTCATCCCAGGGCCGGGCCCGAAGGGGCTCCTTGCCTTTTGCCTCAATTTACTGACTCCTGCTGGAGCTGAAGAGTGTGCTGCTTAGTGCCCACTTTTTGTGGCTGTTCCTGGTCTCCTGTTTTGATCTCATTCCTCTACAGTTGGAAAAGGTGCTCCCCTGTCTCAGCCTCTGAGAGTCACTGAGATGCAGCATGTCGCCAGCCAGCTCATAGTGTGTGCCATAGGATATTGTGTGCTGCAGTCCCAGCATCTTGCTTGTGTATTGTGAAATGTGGGTTTGGTGCACACAACTCCCCAAATCCTGGGTTCTGGGGGAACAGGTCTCATGTATGCTAATGAGCCTACCCTTGGCCAGCAGCCCTGGGTGACTTCAGCACAGGTTGACCCAGAAAAGCCAACGCAGGGCCCCAGGGCTGGGAAGGCAGAGGGGCCAGAGACTCACTCAGTCCTACCCCTGTCATGAAGCCTCCATCACCCCAAGACCAGGATCCAGAGGGCTTCCTGGGATATGCAGATGGGCGGGGGGAAGGGGCAGGGAGGACAGGAAGCCCTGCCTCCCCATACCTGCCCATGCACTCATCTGCAGCCTGGTGCAGTCCTGATGAGAAACCAGGAAGTGAGCAGTGTACCCTGCCCCTAGCCCTATGAGCTGGGGAGCAAGTCAGTTAAGGGCAGAGGGGGCCCCATTTTATAGCTAGCAGAGTAGGGTCAGAATCCCAGGTGAGATGGAGTCCTGCCTGTGAGTGGTGCTGTCTGCAGGCAGTGGGTGTAGGCCGGGTTGGGTTAGAGGACACCAGCCAGCTGTGACCCCTGCAGCACTGACTGCTAGCTGGAGCGGGCAGACCCTACACCTGTGTCATGAGGAGCATCTCAAGAGATGGCAGAGGGTATCCTGTCTGTGCTACGTGGCCACTGCCTGCTGTTTGGGGCATTTTTCTGCGTGTCTTACAGGTCCTATGGGTTTCTAGTTTTCTTAGTAATCTGGATAGATTTTCTGCCTGTTACTGGCATCTATTAACTTTAGAAAATAGTGGCAAATGAGATGCAGTTTGGACTTCAGTGGGAAGCAGGTCTTGGGGTTGGAGTGCTGTTCAGTGGTGTTGGAAGGGTATGCGGGGCTCGGGATGTGAGCACACCAACTTGCATCCCATCTGGGGTGCAAACTGCTGGCTTAGGCAACCATGCACTCAGGCCAGGCCCGGGTCTGTGTCCCTCATGTGCTGGCCGGGCCTCCTGGAGTGTAGGAGAGAGCACCAGATACCCGCCTACCAGGAGCAGGTCTGCTGTCTCATATGCTGAGCCCTGGCTGGCCAGTGTGGGGATCCTGAGAGAGGAGGAGCCCTCTGTGACGCTGTTGGAAAGCACCGTTCTCCCCTGGTGAGGCCACAGCGCCCTCAAAAGTGCCTAGCTGTTTCCCAGGCGCCTCCAGTGGTGGCCTGGAGCTGGGAGCGACAGGGGCACTGGAGCACCCAGCCTTGCTGTCCACTGTGGTCTGTATTTGCTCCCAGGTGACACTGGCACTCAATGAGAGGTGGTGCCACATGTAAGAGGAGCCCACAGCTCCTCGAAAACCTGGGCTGCTTGCCATGTCATGAATCCCCGCGGTAGTGGCACCACAGTGTGGGTCTCCTTGCTTGGGCCCCCAGGAATGAAGCAGCACAGGGGCAGTAGCAGTGGTCCAGGAATACCACACCGCAGGTTGCAGCAGTGTTCCTGCCACCCATCCGTGTCCTGCTTCGCTGGGAAGAGCAATTTTCCCTCCTTTCCTTTCCACAGTGTAGGGTGGCCCCAGCTGGGAAACACACTCAGAGCTGCAGACAGCTTGATCCAGCCCAGCTCTGTTTCTTGGGTTGCCGATTTCTCACTGCAGGAGAACTCCGATTCTGGACAATTCAGTGTCACGCTGTGCGGGGCAGGCAGCTTGCTGAACCCTCACCACTGCACAGACAGGGTCCTGGGCAGGGTGGGGGTGGTGCTCACACTTGGCTGTGCATCTGGGTGCGTGGGGTGTCCGTTCCCCTGGCCCTGGATGGTGCATGCATGCATGCATGTGTGCAGCTGTGAGCAGTCTGGCGAGGACACACCTCAGTGCATGGTGTCTCCGTGATTTATGTCCCACCTCCACAGACGTGGAAATGTGAGGAGGCTGACCTCCGCTCGCCATCCACTCTGCAGGGCACCGGCACAAGGACGGTTTCTTGCAGGGAGCTGTGTGCTCCATACAAGGTGTGCTCTTGCTGTCTGCATCCTTAGGGACCCTCGGGACTATCGAGCCTCCCTCAGGGTCAGAGAAGAGGAAAGTGGCCTGGCCACCCTTGGGACACCCTTGGTAGGTTTGGTTTGCTTGATTTGTGTTCTCTCTTTCTGCCCCAAATGCTGAGGGAAGCCAGATCCTGTTATTCATGAACAGCACTGCCTACCACCTACTATGTGCAGGCGCCACAAGCTGAAGCACCCCCTGGGCTCTGCGGTATTGCCCAGGCTCCCCGATACTTTTCCACATGTGTCTCTGTCCTGCCTGTGCTGTGGGCACTGTCACTTTCTCCTGCAGCCCAGAGTACTTGCAGCCAGGTAGTTTCCTCGCAGGTACAGCTCCCTGGTTACCATGTTTGTTTACCAGTGTGCCCGGGACTTGGGCAGTGTCCCTCCTGAAGCTGGCCTTTGACTCACAGCTAGTGAGGGCTTCTGGGGAGGCCCCTGGGTACTGCGGAGGCTGGCAGCATCGGTGCTGACAACTAGACAGCTTGTCATCCTGGGCCACAGAGCAACAACTGTTTCCAGGGTTTGGCCAGACTTCATGAGCTCCATTCTTTCCATCCCCTGCTACATGGAATGTGCAGGGCACTATATAATTACTTCAGCCTCTCTTAAAGGAAAAAGGCTACCAGTATTCCAAAGCTACTGATGCTTTGAAGGTTAACTCAGTCATTTTCTTTGTCTGCTGATCTAATAACTGTAATAACTGTAAAGATCTTTCGGTTTTTTCAGTAGTAATTAATTTCAAGTGCATTATGGCAGCCAGGCCAAGGTTCTTAATAGGTTCTTAAAGTGCCCAAACTTGCGTAAGCAGTCAGTTGTTTTGGGCTACAAATTAACGAACGTGCAGGTCATTAGTCTGCCTATTAGGCAGAGACCAAGAAATGTGCAAATTCTTACTTTCACTCTAGTTTCACTGTGCCTAAGGAAAGGGCATTTAAGGAGGTCAGAGATGGATGTGTAGAAAATGCGCAGGACACCTGTTTGCCCTCATTACAAGGGTGTTAAATGGAGCCAGCCATTCGGGCATAGCCGGCACTCTGCGACTACTGTGTGGGTCAGCTGTCTGTCACTGTGACAGCATCCCCACAAGAGCTCACAGGACGAAGAGATCTTGGCTGGTCAGCCAGCTCCTGGGCCAAAGCATTGGAGGGCAGGGCGGCCAGGAAGGAAGCAGAGCAGGAAAGCAGCCTAAGGGCAGGGCCGGGAGCTGGGGATATGTTCCTGAGCACAACCCAGCCCCAGCCGCAGCCCGAGTGCTTCCCTGGCTCCCGTTGAGCTCAAGAGCAGGACTGCAGCGATGCTGAGCCCTCCTGCCTGCCCTCCCCCGTCATCGTTTCTGTCAACTCTTCTGAATGTTGGATCTTGGATATGTGCTTCTTAGTCCTGGTATGTGGGTACTCATGGTGCTGGCCTTCTGCAGACACCCTGAGTGGAGAGAGAGCCTGGCGTCCCTGGCTGTCGCTCCCTGCAGACCTGGGAGGCACTCACCCCAGTTCTTGGGGTACACAGTCTCTCCAAGGACCCTCCTAACAGGAACCCGAAGGCCCTGGTGTCCACGGTCAGGAGATGGCTCTGCCTCTGCCGTGAGCCTGGCAGGCCCAAGTTCAGGGCCAGGCTCCAGCACTCTGGCTTGCAGAATGGTTCATGAGAAGGGGCTGAGATAGTGTTAGGGTGCATTGCTTGGCTCTTTGCCTGTGGTCAGGAAGGCTGGAAGGTGGAGAGCCAGAAGTCTCCCATTTCTACTTTCTGTGGAGCACGTGGGTACAGTGATAGGAAAAGCAGGACCCGCAGAGGCCGAGCGCACTGCTCCACAATGCCAGAGCTGCCTGTCTGGTACTCAGCCAGTTCTCATGGTGCTGCTGCGACACGCACTGCTCCCTGCCTACCGTCCCCCTTAGGTGAGGAGTGAGGCCCATGGTGCCCAAGATCCTGGCCAGGCCCATGCCCCCGCAGCTGTATGGCAGGAAGCCCAGTTTTTGCATGTGTGCAGGCCAGAGCCCCGTGGCACGGGAGGAGAGCTCAGTTTCAGCAGTCACGTGTGGTGTCGTCGTCGTGGGAACATCACAGAGCGTACACACAGACTGAGCAGCCGAAACACGACACGCTGCGTGCGTGGCTGTGAATGGATCACATTGCAGAGTGACGGACAGCAGAGGCTGTGAGGAGTATGCCAGGGTTGTGTGTGGCCCTGCCGGTCGAGGCTGGGGGGCCTTGTCAGGGGACGTCAAGTGACACTGCTGGGTGGCGGGCTGTCCTTTTTGCCAGTCTTGGCAAAATGGCCTTCCTACCTCACCAAGAGTGGAGTAAATGAGAAAGCAGTCTTTAACCAGAGGAAGTGTCAGGGAGGGCCTTGTCTCCCTTGGCTGTGGGCTAGGCTTTATTTTTCTTTTTGACGGTGCTGTCTGGGCAGCTGCCATGTGAAGTCATCAGCACAGGAGGTGGAAAAGACCTACTGTATGAGGTCACTACCACCCCAGGCTGCTGACCCTGCTGTATACTTTCCAGAGCCGCGGCCAGGTTCCCGGGATGACTCAACTTCTAGGAGCCTGGGGTGGGGGGGTCTGCATGCTCACCCCAGGTGGTGGTCCCGGGCCTGTTCTGCCTGCCTCTGTTTTGTCACTTGTTGGTTGAATGCAGACTGGGGCCAGGATCTTCCCATCAGGGAGGCTGTCTGGGATAGAGGTGTTCCCCGATCCTAGGGTCACCTGCTGCTGGGTGGTGGTAGCACTGCTCTCCTGCCAAGGTGAGTGGAGCCTGGATGCTGCGGGTGTCCTGCAGAGTGGCCCTGCACTCCACGAGTCAGGGTCTGGGAGCCTCTCCCAGGACCCAAGCCCGATCCGAAACCGACCCGGAGCATGCTGTTTTGTGGTGTGGAAAGCTGAGAGGTTTGCCAGCACTGCCCTTGAGCGTGTTCGCGCCTGTTGCCGTGGTGCCTCACTGCTGTCATACAGAGGTTTCTCCTTCGTCATCAGCTTGAGTCTGTTAGGGTTTAACCTCGCCCTCGTGTTACAGCCGCACAGTGACGTGCTCCACTCCTGCAGAATGCACCCTGGCCCAGGACTCCGTGTGAGCCCCATGGTGTCAAGAGACCCACCCAGAGTGCAGGGAGCAATATGCAGTGTGAGGACAGCTCTGCTTCAGGGCTGAGTGTGTGGTGCAGCCACCTACTGTCCATGGTGTCCACACTGTGCGTCTTACAGCGGCGGCAGGGGCCCTTTCACACCAGTGTCACACTGTGCTGTTATACCAACATCACTGGATCCTGTGGGACCATTGTCTGGTCAGGACGGTGCTATGCAGTGTGTTTTGTGTGGCGCTGGATGCACATACGAAGAAAGGGTCCTGCGCTTTCTTTCCAGTTTTGTTTTGCTCGCCTTGCAAGGGCAGGTGTGGGGACACCCCATACCACACCTGGGGCAGTCCCAGTGAGGTGTTGGCTCTGGGTGGAGGGCGCCCTGGGCTGGCGGTTGGTGGGTACCTGCACCTGGACTGCAGAGCCAGTCCCTGGGTACTGAGGCCTTGCCCTGGTGCTGGTCCATGGGCTCCTGGAGGGGTGGGAGGGTGTTTGCCAGTGTGGACAGGAAGCTGCCTCTGGGTCTTTTTGCTTCTGCACAGATCCTGAGCAAGCTGAAAGGGCTGGCCCTGGACACCAAGGCAGAGCTGGAGAGACAGGACGCGGCTTTGGAGGACATCACTGCTGCTGTGGAGCACGTCACCCTGACCACAGACAAGCACAGCCAGCGCATGAAGCGGCTGACCTAGGAGAGCTAGAGCACAGCGCAGCCCCAGCCCTCACACCTGTTGCCTGCAGCCGTGCTCCCACCATCTCCTGCATTTGCATTGCTCCCTGTTCCCTGGCCCTAGAGAAAGACCTAAGTCCTCGGGAGGCCCTGCCCATGTCCCCTGCCTCATCCTCTGGTGGCCCTAGTCTCTCGCTGGGTATCACCAGTCCAGTCCTCATCCAGGGTAGCCAGCAACACCATCCAACTTCACCCTGGAGCAGGGATGCATGCCACCCTTCACGGAAACACCGAGTCGGCTGCTGCCCGGGCCCCCAGGAGTGGAGGAGGAGGCGTGCAGGCCTCGCAGCCCTGAGGTGGAGTGGTTCACAGATTTAGTGGATACACAGTGATGACACGTGTGCAAGCCACGTGTGACAACACCACACCTGCAAGCACACGTGCTGATCCAAGCAGGTGAGCAGCGTTACTGCCCCCAATGCTAACCAGGACTTGGTGTTGGGGGCGGGGAGGGGCCTTGCAGCTCCTCTCCTGGTTCTTTCTGGAGCCCTAATAAACTGCTATGAACTCCAGCACCGCCCTGTGCTTGCTGGACCTGGAAGCCGCCTGTTCCTCCTCCTATGGATGTAGCCCTGCCCTGTCCCTCCACTCTGCGCCAGGGCAGCTGCTGGGCCACTGACACAGGAGTGGGATGATCTTACCTGCGGCTGGCAGCAGATATGGATCTTTCAGCGAGTGTGCTCCTGGGGCACCCACGTTTGCTGGGGCTGAGTGACACCCATGGGAGTCCATCCAGGGGGCAGGAGGAGCAGAGTCAGAAAAGGGCCACTTGGGAGGACTGGGTTCCAAAGTGGCTGCGATGGGTCACACAGTGCACCTTTCAGAACAGCTCTGAGAAGGATATGAGCGCTTTCCTCACAGAAACAGCCATACTTATGGAGAGAGAAATGCTAATCAGTCTAGCTGACCGCCATGCACCGGAGATGCATGGAAAGGTCATCCTGCGCCCCACGTCACTTGCTGCCCCCAAGCCTGTGAGCAGGGAGGGCAGAGTGAGGTGCAGCCATCCACCCAGGAGATCCCAGGAGCAGCACTGGCAGTGGCCCGAGAGGGGCTCTAGGTCCCCATGCTTGTGGACAGATGAGTCCGGGGGCTGCAGCATCTGTCTGTGTCTTAGAGACCCCACCTCACAGCTGAGGTCCTGAACCTCACCCCAACTCATGCATTAGTGGTGTTAGTACATGGGCAGGGCCTTGGGGAGGCAACAGGGAGGGCAGGTCCCCCATGGCACCAGAGGCTCCATCAGGAGAGGAAAGCTGGAGCTGGCAGCCTGCTGTGTGGCCTGCAGAGCCTACAGCAAGCAGTAGTGTGATCAAGAGGGCCTCAGCAGGTGTCAGTGTCGAGCTCTTGGACTCCCTAGCCTCCAAAACTGAACCCAATAAACTTACAAATGACCCAGTGCTGTACTTTGAATGTCATCCAACCCTTCTGAGACCCACACTGAGTCGAATTCCATTGCATGTTAGGTGACCTCTGCCCACATGAATGATGCATCTACGCCTGCCATTGCATTGGTGGGCTCGGCAGTGACTCCAGTTGGGTCTCATGTCATCTCCCCAGGTGATGGCCTCAGCTGCCAACATCTCTGCCAGTGGGAAGGTGTTGCCTCACTCAGTCCTTCCACTTCATCCGAGTATGGGGCACAGTGAGCCCCATTTCTCACTACTTGCCCAGCCTGGTGTGGCATTAGCTGTGGAAAACAGAGCCTCCCACTTCCAGCACCATCTCCGCCCTCTTCCTCCCATGCAGGGCAGGGTAACGGAGGCAAGTGCAGACCTGGGGGCTCAGGAGGGCATGTGTTGCAGGACCATCACAGTGGTCCTGGAGCCAGCATGGCCCAGGTCTGCACTCTGGCTACCTGGCAGCTGCTTGCTGTTGAGGTTCGGGTGGAGGCATCACCTGGGAGAGAGTGGATGGGCCTACACATGGGCTGCCTGCACAGCGGCCACCCCTCCCCCGGTAGCTCTAAGTGCAGCCCTTGCCCTGTGGATCCCTGAGACAGAGCAAGGGGTGGAACTCAGGCTTCCCTGCATGAAGAGTTCAGGCTGTGGGCTGCTTCCTGCATGGGTCTCTGTTGTGGGCCACTAGGTATGGCTGTGTCGAGAGGCCATGTGTCGGACCCCAGGACCCCAGGCTTGAGGTCCTGGGAAGCCTGTAGGAGGAAGGTCAGGAGGAGTAAACTTGAGCTGCCCTTCAGGTGGGTCTTAGAGGTGAGAACAGCTCTGGGGGATACCAGGGACGCCCTGTGGGGTAGGAGACAGTGTCCCAAGCAGGCCCTGGTCACCATAGGGAGCCTTGTGCTGGGGTGCTGTGGGGTGCCTGCACAACACCCTGCCCTGGGAGAGGGCTCTGCACCTTCACAGAACAGGATCAGAGGAGTGCTAGCTCCAGCACACTGCTAGGTGTCCCAGGAGCCCCTGTCCCTGCAGGCCCAGGAGTGCTCCCTGCAGGGCTATGCCAGGGCCCACAGCGAGTGATGCTAGGTGTCACCTGGCTTAGGGGGCCAGTCACACTACCTGTCTTTCCAGTGTCCCACTGCTCAGAACACGGCAGGTGGAGCAGGCTGGGAGGTCCCAGTGGACACCGAAGAAGCCGCTTTCCAGCCAGGGTTGAGGGAAGGCATGGGGACAGAGCAAAAAGCTGGGCCCCAAGGTCCTGGGGATGCTACCAAACATAGCAGACAGGAACATAGTCAAGCAGGCACACAACACCCCTGCTGGGCCTGTGACATTTATACTTCCAGCACTTAAGAGGCTGAGGCAGGAGGATCACTGCCAGTTTGAGGCCAGCCTGGGCAACATAGTGAGACATTATACCCTCGTGCTCAGACCTAACCTTGTGTCTGCCATGAAGAGTACAGACAGCCAGCAGAGGGAGCTGCAGGCACAGGAGGCTGCCCCCTGCCAGGACAGCCAGCCCAGCAGCATGATGTGGGCATACTAGGGACCGGTTGATGTCAAAAGGCACTACTGGGAGACAGGATCCTGGGCCCTCATACTGTGATAGGACCCACTAGGGGTTGGCCTAGTTTCCTCACTGTCACCAACTCACTGAGGGGCGTGGTGCTTTGTATGTGGTCCCCCTGCCCAGACCATCTCACTGACAGCAGCCTCTCCTGTCCCCACTCCTGATGCCCAGTTTCACTGTGTGTTTCTCCAGTCAGGCATCCTAGAGGGCTTACTAGGCTACCTTCTGGGGCTAGGCTGTCCTTTCTACAATCTGTGAACCAGATGTGATGCATCAGCATGTGATCACAGTAATCATCATTTTATCAAAAAAGAAAACACTCCCAAAAAGAATACAGATGGAGATTAGAAAGGAGTCACACTTGTCTTGGCCAGGGAAGCTTGGAGGACACTAGCATGGCCCTCCCGAATTGACAGTGGACACAGAGGAACAACAGCAGTCCTGGGTCTTCCTGGAACTCCTGTCACTGGTCCCCACGACTGGAACAGCAGTGGCAGAGGGATTTTCTCCTGCAGCAGGAGCCCAGGGCTGAGTCTAGGAATAGAGCCTGAGCCACGTGACAGATGGCTGGGGGCTGACTGCACCTCTGAGGAGAAGGGACCTGGCCTCTTGTGACTCCTGACAGGAATGGCTCACTGGCCATTTCAGAGTACCCCAGTGGGTCCCTGACCAGTTCTGGCTCCAGAGAAACCCAGAGCAGGGCCTGCCTCCCCTGGAGAAAGGGAGGTGCCTAGTCCTGTGTACTTCTAGCAACCATTCTTGCCCAGGGGCTGGGAGGCCGAGGAGCACCTGTGAGGTGCATTGCCTGGGGACATAGACCCCTCGGGCTCTGTCACAGGTCTAAAATGCTCCTGGGAATTCAGTGCTGCACCACTAGCCTCCTTGTCACAGCGGCTCCCTCTGCGACCCTCCCGGGACCTCGGCACTGCACCACTAATGACCTATGTTATAGCAGCGCTTTCTACCCAGCAAAGCATGTCCATTCTTTGGTACAAAACTGCAAGACTTGTTAAAAGTTCTAAAGTGGACCAAAGAGACTGAGCCAGCATAAGACCAGAGTCAGACCTGGTGAGAATGAGGCCAATATTTTTCAAAAGCTACAGTGACTATGCTAATTGTTTTTATGCTAAAGTACACTATACTCCAGAATTCATGAATACTATAAGCAGGAAAGTGAACGTTCAGAAAAGACTAAAAGCACAGCAATGAAATAGAACCTCCAATAGGCTCACCAGTAGATTAGAAAGCACCTGTGAGCTCAAGAGTATGGCAATAGAAATTTCCAGAAAAAGTAGTAAATAGAAAATGTGAAAGTACAATAGAACATTCAACTGTTAGATAACTACAAAAATGTAACGTTATAAGAGAACCAAAAGGAGAAAAAACAAAAAGAAATTCTTGAGGTGATAATCACTGAGAATTTCCCCAAGTTAATATCAAACACAAAACCATAGATCCTGCCAGGGATTTAGCTCAGGGGCACAAGCACCTGCCTGGCAAGCTCGAGGTCATGAGTTCAATCCCTGATACCAACAACAAAACTAAACTAAAAACTACAGATCCAAAACTTTTAGAACAGTGAACAAGTAAATGCCAAAAGTACTCCTATGCATAGCATATTAAAAAACTAACAAGTGTAAAAAAACGTTGAAACAGAAAGAAGACCACTTATACAGCAGCAAATACAAAATCATCTGGCTTCTGGGACATCATGTAAGCATCATGTGAATGGGCTGAGATGTTCAGGAGAAATAAAACATACTGATCTAGAATTCTTCTGTTGTTTTGTTTTTGTATCCAGAATCGAACTCAGGACCTTGCACTTGCCAGGCAGATGCTGTGCCATTAAGCTGGATCCTCAGCCAGTCTAGAATTCTGAGATGTGAAATTATCCTTCAAACAAGTGGGAGAAGTAAAGCTTTCCTCAAACAAATGGACACTGAGGGTTGTCAGATTTGCCTTGCTAGAAATCTCAGAAGCTGTTCAGAGAAGAAACAGAATTTCCATAATGAAAGAGAGCGTTTCAGAAATAGAAAAAGAAGAGGTGAAATCAAAACTACTATTTTTTAATATTTTAATTGATCTACCACACAATGGGTTATTAAAAAGAAACAAATAATATAATATATTCTGTATGTCAGTATGTATGTAAGTAAAAAATTGACAGTAATGAAGCCAGGTGTAGATGGGCAGAATTTGGATTCGTTTGTAATTATAAAGTACTTGCATTACCCATAAAGTAAGATAGCGTTGCTTCCCAGTAGACTAGAATTAACTGTAAAAATCTTCTGCAAATTCTGGAGCAACCACTAGGAAATTAAAATAACTGATGTACTAAGGAAGAGAAATGGAATCTTAAATTGCTCAGTTAAAAAAATCACAAAAAAACTAGGAACCAAAGATTAAAAACAAAGGAAACAAATATAAAACAGTGACAAATGTGATGTTGACCACCTTTTCCAATAAGCACTTTAAATCTCCAGGATCTAAATGCATCAGTTAAAAGATTGTCAGAGTGGATTTTTTTAAAAAGACCCTACATGTTGCCTACAAGGCACCTACTTTAAATGCAAGGTATAGCTGAGATACATAGTGACCCAGTACTCGGGAGGCTGAGGCAGGAAGATCACGGAGTGTTGGCACCAGCATGGGCTACAAAGTGAGTTCAAGCCCAGCCTGAACTGCAAAGTAAGACCCTATGTCAAAAAAGACCAAAGGAAAAAAAGATATGTATTATAGTAAAAGCTATATTACCACTAATCTCCCTCAAAATACACTTCGTCACTTTTTTAAAAAATCAACTAAGTTTATTATTACACTTTAGGTATATACCATGATCACATTCATCATAAAAAATTCATACCTGTACATGATATATCTTGATTTGTTTTTCCCAATTCCTCTACCCTCCCTTTAATCCCTCTTCTCTAATTACATAAGCTTTGTTTTCATTTTTTCCTTTTCTCGTTTTTTCTCTTTTCCCTTCCTTCCTTTTCCCCTCCCCTCTCTCTGTTCCCCTTCCTTTTTAAACATTTTCTTCCTATTTCACAATATCTATTATACATTTTGGTCCTTATTTACACTTTTGGTTTCTCACACCAGAGAAACCAAAAGTGGTATTTACGTGTGTCCAATTTATTTCACTGAAGAGTATGGTCTCAAGTTGCATCCATTTACCTACAAATATCTCAGATTTATCCTGCGTATGTCTGAGGAGTACTCGATAAAATAACCACATCTTTATCCATTCATCAATTAAAGGACTTGTGGGCTGTTTCCAAGATCTGGCTATTACAAATTATGCTGCTATAAACATGAATGTTCATATATCACTGTGGTATGATACTGTTAATTCTTCCAGGAAAATACCAACAAGGAAAATAACTGGGTCAAAATAGGACCTCTAGTCCTAGTTTTTTGAGGAATCT